CATAGCAGTTGGGTCAGCTCTATAGCCTTCTCGCACGACTCGACCAAGCTGGCGTCGGCGTCATTTGACGGCACCATCAAGGTGTGGGATGCGAGCAGCGACGCGTGCCTGCAGACGCTCAACATCGGCAGGTCTCCTTACAGTTTGTCCTTCGATCCCACTAGCTCTTTTCTTCATTACAACAGAGGTACCATTGCTATATACGGCTCGGGAACTTCTGGCGAGGTAGCTATCGTGGACCCTGAGCGCCCTCGGTATCTAGGCACAAGCCTGAGCTTCGATAGCACATGGATCAAGCATGACGGCAGGAATATACTGTGGATACCATCAGAGTATCGACCGTCATGCTATGCGGTGTGCGGAAGCACAGTCGGTATAGGCGTTGGGTCTGGTAGAGTCTGGACCTGCCGTGTTGACCTACACACCCACATCTGTTCGTAACAAAGTATAGGCGAGGGCCAATGTCATCTCATATATATTGATTTCGACGTGTATGCTTTCCGGCAGGGCACCAAGTTGCGCTCGCTCGATGAGCGCGTCAAGGCCAGCATTATTTTTCTTGACGACAACGTCCTCGCTGGAAACTACCCATCTTGGCTGGATGTGCCCATCCACCAACAATGACTCATTCTGGACTTTTGTCTGCTACGTAGTCAAGCAGAAGAAGTTCAATGCAAAGTTCGTCTAGCATATCAGTCTCTACACGCCACGCTTCTACCACCAGCGCATGCGACCGTTCCTGGGGCTCGGTTATGTCATCACATTTGCCGGATAGGAGCTGCGTGATTACAAGCGACGAAGCATCAACACACCAGGAGATGTTCGGAAGCTTGTATATGTCATCTGGAGACAAGGCAAAAGAAAGCGAAGAAGAACCGCGGTCCAGAACCGCAACAGCCTGCCGGAAGCAGATCTGGATGGCGCAAAGCTCGCGTCCGTCGATGAATGAGACACCACCCAAGAATCCAACAGCGTCTGATCTCAGGGATGACAGGTTGTGAACACCTCTTGTGCGACCCCTGTTACGAGGACATCATGAACCCTGTAGCCGAGATAGGAAAGACTCATGGCTTTTGCAAGCCTTGCCGTCAGACGTTCTTCTACGGCAATCTTCTATTCGCCTGCACGTGTTGTTCACTCGCCCTCTACGCAATGCAGAAGAAGAAGAAGAAGAAGAAGAGCAAGGAGAGGAGAAAGCAGAACCAGAGCCGTCAGGCAGTGATGGGCTTCGAATTTTCGACTTTGTGGGGAAGTGAAAAGTTTGTGGCCGCGGGTGTAAGAGAAGACGATGCAGATGATGAGGACTATTTCGCATCTCAAGATGGTCCTGGGGACGACGATGGCTTCGATGAAGCTGAAGACGACGAAGAAGACGACGGCATGGATGCTGAGGGAGGACAAGAAGGTGACGGTGACGATGACGACCCTGGGATATGGGTTGGTTACATCGCGCCCGAGACCGAGATCGATGGGAACGACAAGCAAGTACAACCGATTGAGAAGTACTGCATCGTCATCTGCAGGATGTCCTCGAACAAGGGCATTACTAGCAAGGAGAGCAAGGACGGCCGCAACCGCGTCCAAATTAACCACAAAGGCATGAAGCGCCGCAGGAGGCTGGAAGGGTGCATAATTCGAGAGAGACTTTGCAACAATGCGCCTACCCCATCCCGATTTGCCTTCATCCTTGCCACAAACAGCTATCAAATCACCCTCTAGGTAAGGTGCAGGACATGTGCGGACAGGCCGCGCGCCATTTAGAGAATTGTAGTCTCCAAACGTCTTTTCAGGTCGAGTATAACCCACCAATTCACCTTGAGTCCCTCCCATGTTCTGGAAGTTGCACGTTCAGAGTCTGATCTTTCGCGTCCCAAGATGAATGGTCTCGATACGACTGGGAGGTTCCATTTTGGATAAACGAACCGTGGAGGCGCTCCAAATGTGTCAACGCCCGCGGATATGGAAGGTCAAAGATTCCCCATTCCTAAATCCAGGTCTCCAGAGACCTTCAAATTCCGGATGACTGCTGAAGACGCATCCAGTCGCAAGAGTGGGTGCATAGCAATGGACATAGAGGTTGTAGTATTACATCGATCAAATCTTGATCTAGCAATCTCCTGCCCCTACATTTACTGTACAGCATAAAGTGATGCCTTTGGTAACCTCATCCTTCAGACGAGTTGTCGACTATAATTCCTGATGCTCGGTGAAACCGCACGTCCACTCGTTCTGGCCAGGCAGTGGTGCCGTGTTCGGAATGTTACTGCTTTCTCGAAACTCAACGATCTCTCTCCTCCCTTTGTTGTCCCTGATCACAGCGAACGCGGCATTCGTGAAGTACATAGTACGCTTCGCCAACCTGTGCATGCCGCCCGCCCAACCAATCATGTAGACAAAGCCGCCCTTGTCACCGTTGGCATTGGGAATGCCGAGTGTGTTGATGAAGCCGTGCTGGAATGGTGCGAAGCTCTTGCCAAGAGTTTTGTTGAAGCTATGGTACAGCTCCAGTGAGCCTTCGTAGTTGTAGTGTGTGTCATTGAAGGTGAACTTGATGTCCTTGGAGAAGGCTGAGTCGCGCACTGTGGGCCAGTCACCGTTCTCTGGGTATGGGTAGAAGCCTGAGATACTATTGTGAACATGGCAGTGTCGTCTTGCATTCGTTTGAACTGACCATTGATCTGACACTCCAGCCAGCTTGAGAGCTGCACGCTAGCATTCACGCTTTTCGACTCAGCCAGTGCGCAGGGGTTCTGTGCACTGCTATCAATGAAGTGACCGAGCGTGGCTTGCGCATCATCTGCGTTGATCGCAATAGCGGCTACTGAAGTTGCGAGACCACACGCAGCGACTGATATGCTAGGTTAGTCTTGGAAGGGGAAGGTGGCCTGCGCGGTCAACGTACGAACAGAAGAAAGGAAAAGCATCGTGAGGGAATTTTGACAGTGATGCTGTCTTTGATTGAATTCGGAATTGATTCTCTGCAAAACGGTCTCTGTGTATGTGAATGACCTTAGCGACATGAGTGGCTTATATACTAATTAAGGACTTGGTGCCTTGCAGCCGCAGCTGAGGCTGAGCAGTAGGGAACGCTGTGCCTAGCGTGGACGTAAGCGCGGGAATATCGACCAACAGGACCATTTGCTGCATGCGGACGGCAGACTAAAAACTGCTTGGAAAACGAGGGTGCCGAACCGAGGTTCATTGATAACGTTGACGAGACCGATGAAGTATGCGATTGACCAGAGAATACGAAAGAGCATGTTTTGGGACCATGGTTCGGGCTAGCGTGGAGTCATCAACGCTGTGGTGTTTGACCACAAGGGAAAAGCGAACTACACGACGCGCGATTTGTTCGTGAATGCAAGACCGCCCACACGAAAGGTCTGCAGTGAACATTGATGGAATGAAAAGAGGTGTGTGGTAGAAAGCCGAGAATAAATTGTCTTAAGCCAGCCTTCCTTACATCAAGCAACAACAAGCCCGGCTGGCACAATCGGTAGCGCGTGAGACTCTTAATCTCAAGGTTGTGGGTTCGAGCCCCACGTCGGGCTAGGTTTCTTTTTGTCTTTCCAGCTTGTCCATAGCTGTTGTGGTTGTCGAGACATCGATAGTTGAAATTTTTGCTGCCGATGCTGAGTGTGAATATCCGTGCTGGCGCTAGTGGCTAGTGCGTCCATGTGCCTCGGCAGGAAGCCACATGCATACGTGCATACATGCAGTGATGACGTATGCGTGTGCTTGTCGGTCCTGCAGCTGCTGAAGGGGTGTTTGGTACGCGTCGTGATATTTTTGAGTGTTGCTTTGTAGAGAGGAGCCTCAAGTCGCAATTATGGCTGTCTGTAAGGCATGGAGATATGAGTACTCCAACCGGAGCAGCTGGGTTTGTTCTGTCAACCTGAAGGAAAGAGACCTGTCTCTCGAGGTATAAGGTGTGCAATCAGTATGGGCGTGACTGGGCTTGACCTTGACGAGTTACAGTGCTAGAGGATTCCGCTGAAGTTGCTCTTGCAATGCTACAAGGTGGTGTCAGTTGAAGGTCTATGAGGAATGACGAAGCTGCCGGTATGACGACACGTCTAGGTATATAGACTCGCTCTAGGGCTGTCGTGACATCTCTAGCGCTGCTTTGCCGGGGTGAGTATACTCGGTCATCGATACTGCTCGATGTTGCGTGCCCGGCGTGTTGGTGTTGTTGCTGTTGTTTATCGAGGAGTTCGTAGAAGGAACTACGTGGCGGTACCGGCCCGGAGCTAGCGGACGCCCCAGTTCAGAGCATCGCCCGTTCTCAAACATTGAACGCGTTCACCAAACAATCCTCGATTCTGCACTTTGAACGTCGTGGACGTCATATGTAAACCCCGATAGATGACCATACGGCTCGACCAATACGCCTCACCTGCTGCTGAGGTATGCCCAATGCAACTGTACTGGCAATGACCAGAGGCAGCCTCTTTGGCAGGCATCCTGTGCAACTGCTATCACGCACTGGCTGGACCGCCTGGTGTACAAGGTAGAGGGGCAACAATAACAGAGGCCGTGCTAACACATGATAGCGTGAATTGGTATCAGCGCAACTACCCTCATGTCTGGGTGTTTGGGCAGTTGCTCGTATAGTTATAAATCTTTAGAGACACGCTCCTGTCAACAGTCTACGGCTTGCCAATGTTTAGTGCCAGCGGCTGTTTGCTGTTGCACGTAGTAGGGTGCTGGCGACCGCAAGACGCAAAGACGTATCGCCGCAAAGGTACCAAGAGCAAAGTATTGCAACAATTCAGAATTTAATTATTCTTTTTGTATTTCTCTGCATTTGAAACTTCTATAATCATTCTATTTCAACGATACAAGATCTTTCCTTCCACACGCGCAGCTTAGAGATGCGGAACATGGGCAGAGCCAATAACCCTGCCACTTGTCCCGCGCCCCATATTCGCAGCCCTCAACCCAATTTGGACATTCTATCGTGTTTCACTGGCACTATACACCGCGAAATAACCAGCTCACGACCTTCCAATGTCCCCTCATCACCTCACGAGAACACTTTTAAACTCATTCAACCTAGAACCTAGAATGGGTTCCACACTTCATATTTACAGTTGTTGTTCATGAAACATGTAACTGCGTGGCTTAAGTCACATGATATTCTATTGAGGAAGGCACTGCCCAAGGGCGAGTGCACTTACCTCTGAGCCGAGAGCTCCTGTACAAAAAACATCACCGAACAAGAACACAGATAGCAATACAATCATTGACCACAGCCTCCGACCAACACTGCTCACGCAGCTACAAAACATCTGTAATCTTGCGGTTCAAAGCTCGACCATCTGCATTACAGACCACTCGCAGAACGGCATCTGCTACGCACGTTTTGAAGTCATACAAGACGACTCGACGGTGTCACTATCTAGCATAATGGCAACTAGCACCATCATGGGGATTGTCATTGCCATTCCTGGTGCTTTTGTTGCGATTGCAACATTGTGTTTCATGGTTGCTCGTTGGCGCGGTGATGCGAATGTTCGAGGTCAGTTCTTTGCTTTCGCTCAGTGTTAGTCTAGCTAGCCTTTGATCATTCTCGAAAGGCTTGTAAATCGCGGCTCTCACATGACTCAGGTATTGGTAGCCTTGAGCTGACCTAAATGAACACACAGATCTCTTCCATCGATTCCTACACTCCGCATGTACATCGGCACAGACCGAAACCACCACAGAGGAAGACATTGAGCCCGGAGTCTTCAATGGATTCCAGGAACGCATCGACATGTTGTTCGCAAAACTGAGTTCCGAGACCAATGGTTGGGAAGAGGTTGCGCTGTCTCATCCTCATCAGGACTGACGTGGTGGTGTAAAGTCAATGTTCTCATGCACTTCTCTTACGATTGAATGGCGCAACTACAGTCGGGTGCCAAAAGTCTGTTCGCAACGGCTTTACCCCACCAAAATTGACCATATCCTATAATAATTATACCAGCCTCTGCTTATTTAAATAATATAAAATAAAGTAGTATAGAAGTGAATATCTCTTTCTAATACTCTCTTAAGTTTTAGCAATTAATCTTAAGTTTGTATAGAATTAGAGAAAGGGTAAAAAGAAACTAGTAATAAACCCCACTTAATCTTCCTTTTTTCTTAGAGAATCTATCCTTGCTATCTTCTCTAGTCTCTCTCTAGTCTTAGAAATAAGATAAAGATCTAAGACTTCTAAAATATATTTTTTCTACTAAATTTTTTCCAAAAAGTAGATATCTTAAGGTGAAAGAGGTGACTTTTGGTGAGGAAGTCCGCTAAGCGAACAGACTTTTGGCCTAGTACTGTAGTATGTACAGCAAGTCTCTTTTTAGCCTAGATTCGAACAGTGTTTGGTTGTTATTGGCAATGATCTGGAAAGGACCACGAGCTCGAAATGAGTGGATTGATTTCTACTCACGCAAGCTCCTTACTTGACTGTATTCAGCGCCTTCAAAATCGTATGAAATTCTCGCCGAGACAAAAAATCTGAAGGATGTCTTGATGATGGAGCCATAAGTTCGTGAAAACCTGTTGACGAAGTTCGCTTCCAACGGTGAATACCTTGTATCTCATCATGCACAAGGCCAATTCTGTATTGCAGACGAGAGTACCTGCATCGCTGCTTAGTTCCGGACTACGATTAGTGTCTGGAATCGATAACGGCAGCGCCTTTACCACCCTTTCTCGTCTCCCAGTCTTGCAGTCCTACGCCTAGGGCTTCTGCTAAACTCTTATTCACCGCAAATTCTGCGAAGCTCACCCTATCTGTCCACCAAGATAACAGCTCTTCGGCTCTTGCTCCACTCTCTGCGTCCAACAGCCCGGCCGCTACGTCTATTAGTCCATCCCTTCCCTTCTCTGCCCCGCCATCCCAGAATATGTTTGCACCGCATCTGCGGCAGAATGCCCTCGTTACCCCGTCACTGCTGCGGTGAGTTTTTATACTACCCCAGTACTCATTCGAGTGTCCAGAATCGTATGATGGAAACGGTCGAGTAAGGTCTGAGTCGAGGAAGATGTTGGCAGTGGGTACGAAAGCCCAAAACGTGATGTAGAAGCCTGAGGCACGGCGACAGGAGTTACAAGTGCAAGTCCCGGCGAGGAACTTGGTACCGTGATCGTGAAGCCACCATGGATCATTGGAGGGATTTGCTGACGCGTTTCGACCGAGATGGTATGGAATCAGCAGGTCTGGAAAGTCTGAACGTGCGGTTTTCGAGGCGGCGTTTGGAGGTTGGATCCAGAATGCAACGCCGTTGCAGTGGCAGTGTGCACGTATGGGCTTCTGGGCTGATTCGAGTCTATTCGGCGAAGTGCTGTAATGATCGAGTAGTATCTCGTCGCTCTCTCCGGCCTCCTGTGTCCACTTTTTTAAGACTTTCCCGTCAATGCTTGTAAGCCAGTCGCTGGCGCCTCCATCTTTCGTGTCTTCGATCCACATACAGCTCTGGTACTCCACAACTTCTTGCGTGCTATCGGCTTGTAGTGTGCCAGTTGCAGCTTCGAAGTGTCCGTCAATGTGATACTCAAGGTACATGTGTGTCCCACATGTTGAGCAGAAATGTCTGATTAGTCTGTCGGAGCTGTGGTATGGTGTGAGGGCCGAGAGGTCTGGCTTCGGTGCCGATTTACTGTGCGTGATGTTGATGTACGAAGTCAGTAAAGAGCCTGAAATCCGGCGTGAGGTATCGCAGCTGCAGAATTGTGAAGCAAGCGGAAGCTCAGAGACAGGTATCTCGAAGGTGTGGGTTGCTGAGCCGCAAGAACAAGATACCGTTAGCTCTCGCAAGGAGCCCATGTGCGCGATGGTGGTTGTCATACGAGTAAGATCAACCATATGGTGAGCCAGACATTGTAGAGGCCTGCAGCCTGTTGCAGATAGCTCTACGTTGCAGTCGACGACCCTTAGAGCGATGAAAAATCCCTCATTCTGCGCAAGAGATGCTTGCTCAGTGATTCTGTAGTGCAAAAGCAATGAGGACAGAAGATGACTGGACGATGTGATCAGGAGTTTTGCCTATAAGACCCCACATACCCCGCACTTTACTTGAACGGCAGGCGCAGCGGCGAATCTACGTCATCGTCTTCATGGCAACCACGATACTTTTCTCGCGCGTTTGTAAACTCGTCGACATCATAGTCACTGGTCCTTGCTATTGAACATCGCAACCCAGGCCTTTTCAAGCTGAATATTGCATAGTCTAGCTGAACTCGGTTGCAGCCCTTCCCAACACACGAACCACTGGGTATTCCTCCCTTACGTTGTACACCATCAGGACTCAGTCCTGCCGCTCAAACCCATACACGAGTTCAGCCTTGACTTCCTTCATCCTATCCTCCACCATCTTCAAACTCCCTTCCACATCCTCAAAATCCTCTTTCGCAACCTGCAGCGCTCGCTGTCTCGCCTGTCCAGCAACTACATACATCTCCGCCACATCTGTAATATCAATCCCCCTTACAATATTGCGATACTCTTCAATGTCCTTCTCCATCATTCCAAGCTCCGCCTTAAGTGAATTCACCGCACCTGCGCGGTCTGAAGATAACAAATCCGACTTGGCTTCGTCCTGTAGTGTGGCGATCTTGATCCAACGCTGTTTGATCTTCTCGTAATGTGCTGGTAAGACTTCCCAGAATGTTTGGCCCAGCAGTGTGCGGCGTGGTGTTTGGTGCGTGTGCGTGAGCATTGCGACTGGCTTTTGAGTCAGTTTGTAGAACAACACTTGTGGAGGTGGCGTGGTTGGCGATTGTTGGTATTTATGCGCCCCCAAGTGATGCGCATAACATGGAAATTGCTGAATGTGATGTCTCGGTCACAGTTCAATGTCTGCAAGTAACATTGAATGTCCATCACTCTAAAAGCTTCTTTAGCCCTTTGTCTCCTTGATATTTCCCAAATTTGCCTCATGGCTGTAACGCCTTCCGACTCTGAAGCCCCTGCTGAGAATGCGTTTCCGCCGACAGACTTCAGGGAGTTCATCGACAATGTTCTGGAAGCCAACGCCACAGGCAACATAATAATCGACCGCGTGTCATCGATCCGTTCATTATGTCCAGTTTCTTCCACGCCGCAGAAGCAGTTTGCGCAACACGGTATCGCGGTCCTCGAAGGACTGATGGCAGAGCGTCGTGATCTCGATGCGCACTATGGGTGGGTACTAGCATCGGATGCTGCGCTCGTGTACAGGTCGATGGGAGGAAAAAGCGAGAATGGAGCAGCTTGGGCGAGGCAGTGGGTGAGAGGCGTATTCGAAGAGTACAAGCGAGTCGGACAGGCTCTGATCGATGCGAAGCTGGAGATGGAGGAACTGGCGAGAAGCGCAAATAGTGGCTAAAAACCTTGAATCCTGGGTATCATTGAATACTCTTACACCCTCATACAACTCTTGCATCGAGCGACTGATGCCGCATCACTATCAGTACTCTTTGCGAGCTTGCGCTGTCCAGTCGATTCAAGGTGTCGTCATGCAGCTCGGTCCACAGACTGCCGCTGTATTTGTCGCTGGGTATTGTTCCCCCGGAGAATGTACGCCCTCTTGGGTATTCCGACAGATGCGTCCTGTTAAGAGTGTCGTTTTCATGACGGCCGTGCGCGAGGGCATAGATCGTTGGTGTCACAGCAACGACAACGGCAAGAAGAATTTCGAGCGAAGCCCACAACGTGTGACCGCGCTGGACTCGAGAGTCCTTACCTTGGATGATGCGAATGATACTGATTGCGACGAGAAAGATACCGATGCTGAAAAGCGCCATAACTCGAAGACGCCTGTAAAATGGTAAACGTGAGTCCGATGCGGGCTAGCTCTTTGTCAGAGTAGATTGTACTCACTGTGTCATTGGAATCGTGACTGAACAGATAAGGGTGAACGGTATGGCCATAAGCATCAAGTCGGCCACGATGTTACTCGTCTCGTACGTAATAAGCCAAACGTTCCCAACGACACTATAGTGGTCAGCATCAAAGTTATGATGTCGGTCTCAATTTTCCATACCATTCGCCAGGGTCAGGATAGATCTGCCAATGTCGCTCAAACGGACGACAGCCGATGAAAATAGTAACTACTGAAGCAACAAAGGTTGAGAACAGTGCAGTCCAGAAGCCGTATACGAGGATCCGTTCGTAGGGCATCTTGGCGATGAGTCTTGCGAGTAGATCGAAGACAGCCATCTTCAAACACCACAGCCTATTACTGTGTGAGTACACGAAGTAATATTTCTAGCCTCGAAAGCTTACAAGCATGTCAACATGGTCCGAGTCGCCAGGACGAGTTTGCTTCCTATCACAACCTCAGAGGCCGAGGACTCGTACTCAGGCTCAAGGAGCTGAAGGCGGCGCTCTGCCGATATTACTGTACGTAAATTAGCCTGCAGCGCTTCGTCAATGTCAAACAACATACTTCTTGTGGAGCCATAGATCAACAGATAGTAGTTGGTAGCCAAGCGCATGATAGTGAACAATGCGGCCAACAAGCACCAGTAGTCACCGTGTATAAGGCGCTGTTTCCTCCATAACCGGAAACCGATCCGGACGACGATCAGTGCGACAGATAGCAGGAGACACACCCACATGGATATCGAAGAAAGTGGATCGTTCGGCATCGCGACGAATGACGTAGTGTTGCCAAACAACTGGAACGAGACGTGGGTCAAACGCTGGCGTCTACATGGAGTGCAGATGTCAAAATCGGAGACAGCAGGCAGGTTCAGGATCCGTCGTTATATGACATCGGAGGTGTCTGGGGGTTTATGCAAGCCACATGCCGTGAAGGTGGGCTTCTGTGATCTGATTTCGATTGCGCCGGTTCATGATTGGGTTGGCGGTTCTTGTCTTATGGATGGCGGCCGCCACCGCTGGTAAAGGGCCGAGCGGATGTCTTGAGCACGGCTCACGCTCACCGAAGTTTGACGTCTCGGAGAAGCATTGCCGAAGCTGGCAGAGGGCCCAATAAGAATGATGGACGTCCGTCTTATGAGCTCGGCGAGGATGCGTCTTTGTGAGCGGCAGTTGTCGTCGCGTGGTTCCGATTCCCAAATGCGGGGAAACCGGCCCAACCCAAAAATCTGTAAACGGCCAAGAGCTGGGGTAGCGCGCAGTCTCACCGTTCGCAAACCTGCCGCCATTTCATTCCCCGAGCATAAGACAGGCCACATCTGGGTCAAATGCTGCGAGATGCTGGCGCCGGTGTCTTCCCAGACTCACCTGCACACTGCCCCTGCAGCTGGCAGCTCCCACAAGTTCGTGTCCACATAATAGTACGATCGTATCTGCAACCCAAACATTAGGAGATTCCTGAACGATCGAGCCTACCGTTGCCGTGGTACTTTCGACGCTAGTGCGCCTTGTATTCCAATCATACATACCCAGTTGACGCCGGTCGACCACGGTACATAAGGAGCAGATTCTTTCGTTAGACGTCGAAGCATAAGCTGATTGTCGGATTGAAAGCATTCCAAAGATGTTGTGGGTAGTAAGCGTGCGGTGAGGCAAGAATCGGGAATGAAAAACATCAACCACGTCTGACTAAGCGCAGCCGCGCGGAAGTACAACCATGACCTTGCCTCGTTTGCATGGACAGGTCTTAGATATATATTATCTTAGGTGGTAGACGGTGTAACAAGAGTTGGCGAGCAACGCTGTTCAGTCGAGGCGTGACATTGGCCGCTGCTACAATTGTAGAAGCGAAGAAGTCGCCAACGAGAGCTCCTGACTGAGGTCTCGAGAAACACAGTCGGTCCGGCATAAAGCTCAAGGCACATAAACCTGGCCTGCAAGAGAAGCTGAGGAAGTGTGCCTGAAAGTTCTGCAGAGACATACTGTGGAAGCGCGCAAGAAATGAATGGATTTGAAGCGGCGTCTTCAGGAAAATGGAGGAAGTGTCAGCTAATTGGGGTCTTATTGCTGTGTCCAGATCTCTAAATTCGCTCTTCTGTCATATTGTACAGCGATGCGCACGAGGTGTCACGTGCCGTCCAGTTGTTTTCGTAAGTCGCGACAAGCAGTACAAGTAGGTACGTGTGGCGTGCAGCGCATTGTGGTTGCCCTTTGGTGTTTGTTTATATGTCGTAGGGTAAGTGTCGCTGGGCGCGTAGGCGAGTTCGATTTTCCAGTACTTTGCGCCATGGCGTCGTCATACTGATGTTCCATACAACAGCACCTGCCATTCTTTCGCATTAGCCATCAACACCACGTCGAAGATATGATGCACAGGATTAGAAAATCGCTTGACCGGGGCAGAGGAGTAGTTCATTCGTCAAAAGACACGAACGCTCTACAGATAAAGGAGGTTGGCACGTCGGTGGTACGTTCCGTGGGATTTTCGTGGAGAACCGGGTTGCGGAATCTTGCTAACTGGTTCCTTGCAGATCCAAGGCGAGCGTCCACACCAAGAAGACAGGCACATTGCTCTGGCGCCTGGAAGCATTAAATCGAACAAGGACATCGCGCTCTACGCAGTGTTCGATGGGCAGTACGTTTTCTAGCATCGGGTCCCTCCGAAGCAGATTTTGACTCTCAATGCAGTGCAGGTGCAAATGTATCTGAACACCTACAGAACAACCTGGCAGACTTCGTCGATGACGCTCTATCTAAGGTCTCGTCGTACTCGCCGGAGACCTACAAGTCAGCGATCCAAGACGCACTTGACCGAGAGGATATGGTTGTCGATCAGAAGAACTGGAAAGACGGCTCTACCCTCGCACTTGTTCTGATCGATACATCACAGAAACTCCTTGTAGAAGCAGATCTGGGTGATTCCCATATGGTGTTTGCTGAGCATACCAGACGAAACAAGAAAGAAGAGACAAAGCTTAACAAGCTAGACCATACACTGAGGGCTCACCACCTTGCTAAAGGCAAGAATGAATGGAGCATCACGCGACTTTCTGTACCTCACAATCCTGACAATTCGAGCGAGAAGAAGAGGGTCGAAGATGCTGGAGGCGAGATCAAGTACGATACGGGCGCTGCCAGAGTCGGTAAGTGCACTTCCACACCCTGCCGTTCAAAACCTCAGCAACATCGAAGACCTGAAAGCGCAGTCGAATCTGCGCCTGAGCCAGCGACAGCCTTATCATATCTACGTCCTGCAAGACCAAACGAACAAAAATACGCAAATGCTTGGAAGTGCTGGTAATCAAGTATAATCAATGCTGACAAGTCCTCTAGGCGCTCTCGCAATGACTCGCGCCATAGGTGATACTGAATTGAAGCTACCGAGGGTCAACAACTTAGCTGGTCATAACCTGACAGATTTGGATGGTGTCGAGACGGGCCTCAAACCAGGTAGGAAAGCGTCGGCAGATCTCGTCATCAACAAGGCGCATTTTGACGTACGGCATCTCAAGGGTGAGAGTTTGGTCTTCCTCTCCACGGATGGTATCGGTGAAGAGAGAGACGCAGAGCTGGCGGCACGGACTGCAACTGACTGGAAGACACAAGGATGGTCAGCGAAGCAAATTGCAGATGAGCTGGCGAAGCGAGCTGGTAAGGCAAAAGGTTCGGACAACTGTACCGTCATTGTAATAAGTCTGGAAGCGCCAAGCGGTGCGCAGTAAGGCTGCAGAGATGCCGTTTTGTTCGGTCCGTACTTCCATTACTACAAAGAGATATCTTACCATTCCATACACAGGGCTTGATGGAGTTTGTTTGTGATTCGTCGCAGGCCGTATTCAAGCGGTCAGCCGTATGCACACAGCCCCGTTCGAGACCCTCGCGTATTGTTCGCCTGACTACAAAGCCCTTAACAACCTCACTTACTTATTGACAATGACTGCAACGGCAAGACTAATCAAGCACGCGATAAGTTGTTGCGCAAAAACAATGCAAGAGTCAAGATGCTGCAGCAAATGAAGAACAAGGTCTCTATGAGTTGGGATGACAAACAAAGTATGCTCGTTCAGACCTTGCAAGACCGGGACAGGGCTCACAAAATACAGAGAAGAAAGGAGATAAAGAGCAGCAAAATTCCGCAGCGGCAAAGACACCGCAACTCGAAGGGCGGGAAGAACACAACTCTAAGAAGTCTACCGAACCGAACGCGTCCTCGACGAAAGACTACTCAGACAAGAAGAGTACAGATGGGCCGAATAGACTAAAGCAAGGCAGAATCACCCGCTGGATCGATTATGCTCTTAGAAGTGGCATCAACTTCTGATATCCCATTTGAGTAATTGGGTAAGGATTTTGAAGAATGGTCAAGGCAGTAGGAGAGGCTAGGAAGGTGCGCTAATTTCGGCCGCCCCACCCCATGCCGGGGAGCTTCGTTGTCTGATCCCAGGATCTGAACTCTCTCATCTTCACGACACAACGACACAAATAACAAAATATAAATCGAGTCCCGACATTACGGTGTACAGCATACAGTATATACGGAGTCATCGCGTTATGCAGCTCCGAAACCTTCTTCTTGCGCTTCGCTGAGCGCTGAAGTCTAATGGCTGCACATGTGTGTCACTTCAAGGCTGGTGAACGTGCCAGACAGATCTCCAAGGCGAAATCTAAATACATCACAGTCTGAGCCACTGTTGCAGAGCAATCTGCTGTCGCTATTGTCTTCGATGACTGCGGCGCAATGGCGTGATCGACTTTACTAGCACGAACAGAAACTTGGTATCAGATTTGACGACTTGTTCAAGCTTGACCCTGCGAAGCTTGATTGCGGTACGCTGTCTAAAGATCTAAACGCCGCGAACACGAGACTGGCATATGCGATATGGGCTTGCAAAGCTACAGCACGACAGTTGGACTTTATGGACTCAGTCGCCAAGCGGTACCGTGAACAAGCCATACGTCAGGGACTTTCGGAAAGCCAAGCAATTGAAAACGAAGCCCACGCTCATCGACGTGCGTGGAGCAAGGGTATATCGGACCGAGCAGAATATCTCTCGAAGCGTGGACAGGCGCTCGTGCAGACTGTCTACAGTGGCATCGCTCAGCGGGACTCATCAATCAGCCTGTCTCTCGCAGTTACAAGTACTAAGTTAGCGGAAACATCACAAGATGTCGTAATCGCAACCTCAAGAGATAGTGCCGTCATGGGGATTATTGTTGCTATTACCGTCTTCTTCCGCCCAGCTACCTTTACGGCCGTAGGTATCAGGTCGTCTTGCAATCTTCTTTGCCCATACTGATCATGACAGACATTCTTCAGCACAACCTTTTTCGAGTTCAATGCTGATCTTGGGGCCACACATGCTCTTCCTGGTTGTGGCTGTACTTCGGTGTCACCATCGGTTTGACCGCTGCTATAGCAATGGGTATGTGGTTCCTGTGGAGAGCGAAAGAAAAGCAGATCGAGAAACGCTTCGTGTTCAGAAAACATGAGGAGATGGCACTCTTTGCACAGGCCTATAAAGGATTGCCTATGTCGTTTGTCAGGTCCTTCGAAGATCCGGGTCCTCTACGTCTGGGACAAAGGGATATCCCTCTGCAAGGCCAAATGTCACGGTCATCTTTTGCACTCCAGCCTGATGGACTGACTGCTAGGAGGATATACAACCAAGCAAGGTCATGAGCAATGCTTGAAAAGGGCTTCCAACAGTCTGGCATTACCGTAAGTCACGGTTCGCAACATGCGAAGTTCTCTCAGCCAAGGACGAAGCCAGATCCTGGGTTCTGTCAATCCTTTATTGTCTGGTGTTCAACACAAATGTAAGCTACCAGACGGTCTCGCACGCTTATCGCATCTTGCAAGCACTTCCGTCACCAGTGACCACTTCTGGACCGGGATTTCAACACATCATCTAAACCTACAGACAGCCTATCATTTGTGTCTTAGCGCTGTGGCCAGGGTTCACAGTCTAATGGCTGCAAAGACGGGCTATGCTTGGCGCTAACCCACGAAGGGATCACCCAATCCTGCAGATATGTGGGACAGAAAGACTCGCTGACAAGTTGCAGCCAGCTGCAGGGGTAACTCCACGGGCTATGATACCCCGCTTCAGGGAGACAATGGCTATTCAACTTCCTCTCGATTGATCGTAATCTGTCAGCAGGTCAACGATGGCTAGCAACAGCGCGTTCATTGTGCAAACCGTCATTGGTCTGGTCATAGTATATGTCCTTATCTCTATCGTACGATTCTCATTACAGTCCCTTCCGCCCAAAAACTACCCTCCAGGACCACCTTCGCTGCCATTCATTGGCAACGTGCACCACTTCGCATCGAACAAGCTCCACATCAAGTTTACAGAATGGCGCAAAACCTACGGCGACATCATCGGGCTCAAGGCCGGACCTGCCAACATCGTCGTCCTGAACAGTACTGCAGTCACTCGAGAGCTACTTGAAAGGCGAGGAAACATCTACTCGGGTCGGCCCACGGACTACATCTTCCGAGAGCACATCGTGCAGGACGCACAGCACATTCTATTCCTACAAAACGATACATATCTAAAGCGGTACCGGTCTGCAGTGAGACATCTGCTTGGACCTGCTGGCTGCGAGCAAGCTTTACCACTGCAGAACGCTGCGGCGACGTATCTGGCGTACAATTTGGTGTTGGCACCTGAGAAATTCCAGGACCATTTACACAATTGGGGTATGGGCACTCCGTTGACTGCGATTTGTGGCCATCGAGGAGCGCAGAAAGACAAAAACCTGACCAAGCTCTTCTATGACAACCAGAAGAACTGGCTGGAGTTACTCAATCCTGGATCAGCTCCTCCGATTGGTATGTTTCCGATTCTCAAATACGTGCCAGCATTTCTGGTCAAGTGGAAGGGACAAGCGAAAGCGCTGCGCCAGAATCAGCAATACTTCTACTACATGATGCTGAACTCCGCCAAAGACGAATTGAAACGTAGCAAGGCCGGCAACAACGGGAAGTCCAATGGTTTCCTGTCACTGATGGCAACACTATTGCAAGAGCAAGGAGACAAAGGGGGATTTGACAATCACCAGCTTGCGTACCTCGGTGGTGGGCTGTTGGATGCTGCTGTCGATACCACGTACCTCAGTGCTCTGGCTTTTATCAAGGCTCTAGGAGCCCATCCTAAAGTTCTTAAACGCGCGCAGGCCGAAGTCGACAGCTTTTCTAAAGCAGGCAAACCTCCACGAGTCGAAGACCTGGACAAATTGCAGTACCTGAAAGCCTGTTTCTTTGAAGTAGGCCCCGCCTGGCAAGCAATGCTCAGAAACATGAACTGACCTATGTTAGGTACTGCGCTGGCGCCCGGTAGCCACCGTCAACCTCCCCCACACCCTCGACGCCGACGACACTTTCCGCGGCTACCACATCCCCAAAGGCACAGTAATTCTGCAGAACATCTGGATCGACTCGCACGACCCCACTCTCTTTCCCGCACCCGACACCTTCAACCCCGACCGCTACCTCGCCAACCCCTACGGCACTGATCTATCCTTCGAAGCCTGCCAAGCCGAGGGCAGAAGAATCTCGTACGCTTTTGGGAGCGGTCGGAGACAGTGTCCTGGGAATGTGTATGCGCAGAATGGGTTCTTGGCTATGGCGGCGAAGCTGGTTTGGGCGTTTGATGTGAAGGGGAGGGGGGAGTTGGATTTGAGTGTTGAGACGGGGTTTCATGGGGGTTTGCTGCTGGGGAGTGAACCTTTTGAGGTGGACTTTGTACCGAGGAGTGAAATGCATCGTCAGGTTATCATTGATGACTGCGAGAGGACAAGGGTGCTGTTGGATTGACATGAGTGTATAATGATTCCAGGCGGTTGCAGATTGACCGGGGGTCAAAGAAAGCTCATATTGACAATGCTAGCGGGACTATTTACTTGTCCTTGTTCTCTAGGGAAGCGAAGAGCGTCAAGTACCCTTCATCAGAGCGGTGCGTCCTATAGGCATCTTTGGGATATGCATAGCGTTCAGTCACTGGCTTCTGATGCCAGGTTGGCTCTTCGAGCCAAGGGGCTGCTTTAGAAGTAACCTGGTTCAGCGCTTCAGAGGACTCCTCATCTTCGCCCACCTTCTTCTCCTTGTCGACTTCCTTTTCCTTCGTCATTCTCGCAGCCACATACCCACCCATGCTTCCACTAAGCGACCCACTCATAGCTTCCTCAAAGAAGTTCTCGTACGCTTCTGTTGTTACCTCTGGCTCACACGAGTCACGTCGCCATGGCTTTACCAGTTTCTGCTTCGGGCTTGACGCTCCGATGGGTCGGCCTACGACTCGGTCTGTGGTCATCCATTTGTTGATGGGTTCAGCTGCTGTGGGGTTGCGTAGTTTGGTCACGAGGTCTATGTAGTTGGTGTGTTGCTTGGGGTTTTGGGAGGATTTTGCGTTGGTTAGAGGTGTGGAGTTTATCTGTGAGATGTCGAGGAAGAGCGCAGGTTTTCGGCCCATTTTCGAAGCGCTGGTAAAGCGTGTCGAAAGTTCGGCTGCTTGAAGCTTGCTTCTTCTGGGTGTTGATTTGAGTAGGAGGAGGCCCACATGTTTGTAGAGGCAATGCTCGCTGCGTTGTGAGAAACAATTTTCACTGTCAGATCGCACGATGCCGTGAACATGTCTGGCTGCCATTGTTCCCTAATAGTGGCAAAGGTATGGTCAAAGGTATGGTCAAAGGTGTGCCCTAAGATGTGGCCTTGAGAATGAGAAATCTTCAACAAACATCCATACCATCCGTTGAACATGATTAGTTCAGTGTCTCGTGCTGCAAAGTGCCTGTATGAAGGCGGTGAGTGGTGAGACAGGGTGCGGTTCATTCGTCCGGGTAAGATCGAGCCACAAGGCTTGGCAAGAATGAAGACCGGCAAAGTCGGGGGAGGCGCGCCAGGTGTTACCGACAACGTAAACACTAATCCACGCGAACGCACTCACACTTCGCCGCGAAGGATGCTTCTCTAGCAGAAGCTGCTCACTATGAAGCCTGACACGGTAGCCCGAACATGGATCATTGGGGCGACCCTTGGGCCGACAATGCCAACGACAAGTCGCCGACAAAGAACGCGGTAACGTCACCGCTGCCGCCAGCATTTACTTTCGCACCGGTGCCTCTGAACGGCTTTGTGGACGACGCGGGCTGGGGGAACAATGACGATGATGGCTTCGGCGATTGCGCGACTTCAGATGCGGGCAATGTGGCCTCGACTGGTGCAGTACCAACACCAGCTGGAGGTCAAGTCCCAGACAGTGCTGATTGGGCGACCGTGACATATGAGGAAACGGAAGACGACCGCAAGAAGTGGCCGGAGCCGGCATCGCGCACGTCTCAAGACTTGGCAAACGTCGACTCGGAACCCTCAGATTCATCGACGGTATCTCAGCTTGACGAAGCTGTCAACGTAGACACCGCTGAAGAACCTGCGCCTCAGTTGCAGCCAGAAGCCGAATCGTCTGTACGATCATCGACATCGCCCTCCGAAACGAGTCGCAACGAATTGCCCATCGAGTCACCGCGGACTTCGATAGAGGATGAACGGGCCATAAAGAAGGAAGACGTTCCTCACAATGAGGCATTCACCGTTCCTGCAGAATCAGACGCCATCGTTGCAGACGCCAGTCTAGAAGTTCAGACAGAAGAGGGAGTCACGGATTCAAAAGATGCAAGTGATGTCGAGACGGTAGACGAGCTTGTCGCAGACATAGGCGATACGGAAGAGCCATCCTCAAGGTCGTCGGACGATCCAAGCGAGTCGGGTGTTGGGGGACAGCTAGATTCGGCATCCGAGGCTGCAACTACGGCAGGTGCAGTTCGACCACATGCCCAGTCGGCCACGTTCGTCACGGATGAAGCCCTCCTGGCTCAGTTGTTTCCCTTGGAACAAGAGTCGGGCAAGCAACTTGATGCGCACGACGATCCAATCTACTCCACCTCTGCTCGCAAAGCCTGGTACAGGCTGACTCGGAAGCAAACGATGCGTGAGTTCAACCACGGCGATAACGACGACAACTATGTTCGCGTGACATGGACAAACTCACACGTCCGGGCTGAGGTCAACAAGGTGGTGGGTCGGTGGGCGCGAGAAGACCGCATCTCGGGTACTGGTCCAGGCGCAAGAGCTTCGTTCTATTGGGATACACCGGCGCCTGCAGAACCCAGGGCACCTTCCAGTCATCTGCGTACACAGTCTTCAGTTCCTGCGACGAAGACCGCCCTTCCTGCTAGACAGAGTTTGCCGCCATTGGCTACGGACAAGCCTGCAGCATTTGATCGGGGTTCTCCAGCATCTGCCGGGCCGTGGAAGTTGGAGAATCCGGCACAACGATCGACCTCCACACCCTTGGCGCTGAAGAATCCTGCTGTGACCATGATTCAACGGCAGAAAGGTCGCGCCGTGTCGGTAGACCTTACGCCGCGCAGACCGGAACAGACGACACACAAGCGAACAGCAACAGTGTCCCACACAGCTCCTAAAACAAAGGCTGTAGCAAATCTAATCTCACCCCCTATATCACAATCATCTGCTGAGGTATCAGACCCTTGGGCCAACTTCAACGACTTTGACAGTCATTCGACTTCTACAGTTCAAGCTGCTGATGATACTCCTGTTGACGACGATGATGACTGGGGTGAGATGGTACAGACACCTACGTTGCCAACCCCGCAGCAACTAGACCCGTTCTCACAGTCTTCAACAACCAACCACACTCTGTCAACACCACCGCCGCCCAAGCCGAGTCCGCCTGGGAATATCCCAGCTCAAGCTGAACCTGTCGAGCCGATGTTTGCCTCTCCTATTGCACGGCTGCAGAGCACCATCTCGCCAACATCAGCCCTGTTCAAGGCTAATAGCTTTGTTCCATTGCATGCTGAGCATGGTCCTATCGGTCCAGGTATCTTGAAACCATCAAATCGGTCTGTCCGCCCGACTCCAGACAAGAAGCTCAAGATCGATGTACCTATTCCATCGAGTGCAGAGAAGGTCGATGTGGCTGCCGTAGCCATAAGTGACAACGAGGGTGGCAGCAACGATGAGTTTCCTACTAGGAAAGCACTGCAGCCCGTGTCGCTGCCTTTGAAATCCGAAGAAGCCGGACATGCCGTCCCAACAGTCTCGAATCTGACGCCGACTGCACAACCAGCCACACCCATCCAACCATCTGCAGACTCATGGGCAGATGCCGACTTTTCGTTCTTCGAGTCTGCGTTGACGGTCACCGCATCACAACCGTCCTCGCAGACGCAGGATCCTTCTGATCCATTTTCTTTCTTCAATACTCCGGTTCCGACATCTACACCCCCTACGTCGAAGCTGTTTCCCGGGTCGCCTCCTCGTGACACTACACCCCCACCGTTGCCGCCTTTGACCAACGCCACCAGCTCGTTGCAGCGACGAAAAGCTGAAGAGGATCAGATGATTAGCGACATCTTGAGCGGGCTGCCGGATCTCAGTTATATATTGCGATAATGGCACGCCAAAACTTCGGACTACTGAACTATCACTTGCATACTGTACGGCGTTGGAACACATTCATATCTAGAGTAGGTTATTGACGTCGCATCATTCACGAGAGAACTATATATGTACATAAAAATATTCGCTATTTTCATCGACACCATGTACAACACAACAGCCCGAGGCTCTTCGCTCGAATTTCCTGACAAGGCATTGTAGACTACCTTCCATAGCTAACTTCAGGCTCAATTGTGGCTCTTCGCCTTTGCTCAACTGCAAGAATGTGCGCCAGGCTCGAGTGGGCTGTTTGCTCGATCTAGGTGGTCTCCTTCACTGATATGCTCCTGGACGCTAGCGTGCGCATATTGGCCCCTGCGTACGCGGGTTCCTCGACCCTCAATCTCACTCCAAATACAGAGTCAATTCCGACACACCTGCCAGCAGTACCAACGCGCATCCATCTTTCTCCAAAGTCATCAAAATGCCCAAATACGACAGTACGGACGACCATGGGATGTCTCGACCTCTGATGGCTCGATGTACACAGCACCGGAGGCTGCATCGTCGACAGCATCGTTCCAAACCGCCGAGCCAGACTGGCTCTCCCCAGATGCTTCGTTGACAGCTTCTTTCCAAACTGCCGAGGAGCATGAACAAGACATACGCTCCCCCGATTATTCGCCCACCATTCAGCTTTCTCGCCCATCTGCTCCGCAAGCGTCTCCCGGACCAGATGAGTGGACGTGTTCACGATACAAGCTACGCAACCCGCTCGACCACCGTTTGTCTTCTGTCCTGCTTGTGGGAATGAGCAGACACTTCAGCCTAACCTCTCTACGCACACCCCGAAGCGCTCCACTTATGCGCCTCGTATGTCTTCGACAGGTTCTCCTGACAACCCAATCCCTACCTCGAGCGAGCCTTATGCGCTACACCGTCAGCGTCACTGCAGATCTGCAACCCATCGTCCGCCACCATCTGTCCCCGAATCTACAGCGTCTGGTGGGTCAACTTCGAGGGACAGCTTCTGCACTGCGCGCACACGCTCTGGCTCTATCTCCAGCAGCGCAAGTACCATACGTGCTCCATCTCCAAACCTGAACTTGCTTCGTGCCGATGTCAAGTACGGTCGTATCACACGACACTTCTACAGCACATATGGCAACTGCATTACCTACGGGCAAGCTATGGATACGGACTGTCGATCCTCCGAGTCTTCAAGCCCAGGGCATATATACAGTGCCTCTGCCTCTAGCGACGCAAGCACCGTTCGCGATCCGCACACACCAGATCGCGGCAGCAACATTCGCTTCGATGCTGCTTGTAACGAGTTCTTCGACGAGAACAGCACTCAGACCTCCTGCGAGGATTTCCCCGACAGAGACAGGTCGATTGCCGGGCATCCATACTCACCATACTCGGCATACTCGCCGTGTTCATCATACCGCCTAGGCAGCCCCTTTGCGAGCACACCTTACAATGAGGTCCCTCGACGACCAAGGCATGACGCCCCTCGCCATTCGCGTACCGAGGATTCCTACGGCAATTTCCTTGGTCCTGGCCGCAGTCTCTGCCTACTCTCATTAGCAATCTTATGGACAGCGCCTTCCATACTCGGGGTTCGAATACGCGCCTCATCGCGGACTGTATCCTACTTCTCGTCCTTACCCTGGTGGCAGGAAGGGTATTGATTTTTTACCCTTGGATGGTCGAGGTCGTGCTATTGTGTGGAATCGTCCGAGACAAGTGTAAGACTCCTAATCACCTCTACTGAGTATTGTGTGCGGTTGCCGTGGATTCAAATGGGGCAAGCGACGGGAGCGCGGTTGGTTGAGGGTAGATGTCAGGATGGAGACGCGTTGTATCGGCAGAATGGAACGTTCACGGGAGAGGATTCAAAGTTAGCACCACGAGAATTGGGCGCTATGAATGTAGCATTGTATAGTAGTTGACCGAAATACAAAACCTAATACTTAGGTCTGATGTACTGTTTGTTTCATGAACTTAACATGACGATCGTGGATTGCGAGAAGGGACGGACATTGATATGCTTCTCTCGAACACGCAAATTCCCATCAAAACAAGGCACGCGGCGTGTGATGTACATCAATGCAAAAGACCTGGATTTTGGCTAAGTAGAAAGATCATCCCACAGCATACTTACGATAAGCAACAAACGGCGTGTTGTACAGATTGAATCTGTACCATTATTCACGCCAGCTGGAGCAGTGGCAATGACTTCATCTTCACTCGAGAAAACACCAACTGATTGGACATATCTCGAGGCGCGGTATCGAAACTGTGTCTTCGGTACGCTGTATATTGAGTCAGTACATACCCATAATGTAGACATCTCGTCTCACTCACCAGATTGCGGATCGTAACGCTGCGCCACCAGCGCCTCCTTCTGCCCCGGAGACGTTGCCTCAAGACGCGATATATGGGCTCTCAACCGCACCTCATCGTTTTGCTTTTGCCGCGGATCTACTCGCCGTCTGCTTCCAAGCTCACTTAACCGGAGCCTCAATCTTCCGACGTGTTTCTTGATGCCGGATGCTCGTGTTTTCCCTTTTTCCAACGCATCCCTTTCCGCAGCCGCATACGCAGCATCAACGTTGCTCATACACACGATCCTTGCCAGCCGGGGGCGCAGATGCCGTTCCTAAGTTTCTGACGCTATGTGGGCGTTAACGTCCCCAACGCTCGAGTTGTTGGCGAGCGCACTGATGTCTTCGTCTATCACTGTAGTGATAGGTTCAGCGAAGATGCGATCGAGACCTTCGATAAAGGCGTATCCATCTTCCGGACAGTCCTTCTCGATATCGGTCGGAGTCATGAGCTCTTGTATATGATGCAGTACAAGGTCGCAGAAGCACGTCTTATGATCCTTTCGCCAGCTTGACGAGATGATATTGTTGGCCAGGAAGGGGTGGAAAACATCGTAGAGCGCGCCATCGGAAGGCATTTTCCAGAAGATCGAGTGTGCATCGAGATTGAGGGATTGTGGTTCTGTGTCGACGGGAGTACGGTAGTGGACGCGTGCGCGAAGGTAGTTGTGGAACGAAAGTGGGACCGTGTCCGAGGGGCAGATGCGTGCGTAGAGGCGGTGAATGAATGATAAGGGGTCGTCACCTGCGACGGCGTTCATGGACCATTTGCTGTCGACTGACATGTTGGTAATAGCGAATGAATGTGTATAAATGGAAGCTGTATTGAAAGTGATCGTGTGATGTTGCAAGTGATAGAGGACGAGGATGGAAGAAGGCAAGGCACCATTCGTTGTGGCTGAGTGGCACGTGGTTACTGCCATCAAGTCAGAAGGTAGGTGCACGATGTCAAAAGCGGTAAGCGTTGAAGATGGAAAGAGATCCCCGCCTATCCAAACAGGCAGCGACGATTCGTTCTGACAGAAAGGCGATATGTTGTATGCTACAGGGCTGCTTATGAATATATACAGAGAATATGATCGGAGGTGGCCATGTTGCGCAAGGAACAATCTACTTGAGTGCAAGGATCTTAGCAGCAGCTTGTTCTGCGACAGAAACAATGTACGAGGTGGGGTTCGTGGTGATGTGACTGCAGGATGTTAGCTCGTGTTTCGTATGTACTGTGAGCTAGTATGACTTACGCAGGGAAGATTGAGGCATCAACAACGAAGATGTTGTCCGTTCCATACACCTTGGTGTTCAAGTCGACGACCGAAGTGCCACCTGACAGACCGCTATCAGATCCGATCTTGTTGGTGCCGATCCAGTGGTTAGCACGGCGAGCTGAGGGAGTCTTGGGCAGGCTGGCAACATATGCCTCAATTGTGGTGCCAGCAGGCGGGACCTGCAGCTCAATCTTAGGGTTCCTCTGAAGCGCCTTGACCATACTGTTCAGACTGGCAATGACAGCATCGGTATCGGCCTGGTTTCGCAGGTAAGGCGCTGTGGATACTTGCATACCAAGAGCACCGTTGATCGACGCGACACCACGGGAACTAGATCCGCGACCGAGGTAGTTGCTGAGTGTCATGGAGTGAGTGTCGTTGGTACCGGGACCTTCAACACGGGCAGTCCACTGGAATTGACGCTCGGTACCATCTGTACCCTTGATAACTTCCCAAGCGATGGGACCGATGTTGGGGGCAGACTGAGTAAGAATACCAGCACGCTTATTCAAGTAGGCGTCCTTGTCAGCCTGGATGGGGTTACTCCAAGCTTGGTAGAAGTCGTAAAACGAGACGTTCGTGTGCTGAATGACAAGATCGGTGTTGACGTGGTCATTCAAATTCTGACCGACAGGCAAATTGATCCACTGAGCCTCAGGGATGAAGGTCTTGCCATCTTGAGCACTGTCCTTGACGATGTTAAGCTGGTCCTTGGGCCCAATGCCGCTGCGGAAAAGGAGCTTCGCCGAGCCGAAAGTACCAGCCGAGAGAATGACTCGTCCTCCAGCATTGAGGGTGACGTTGCCGCAGTAGCCACCAGCTCCTCCCTCGAGTTCGACGCCAGTTGCTTTTCCGCCAGTTCGAATAACACGCTTGACAGCGGTGTTTGTCCACAATTTGAAGTTCGAACGCGCCAACGCTGTGACAAGGTAGGTGCCGAGAGGACCCTGTCGCTGTCCATTTGCATACATGTAAGGAGTCTTGCTGTACGTGCGGTGCTTCTCATTAGGCTTGTCGTTGGCCTTGACGTTAGTCCAACCGTCCGCACCGAGCGCTCCGGACAGAACATTGTAGCCCTCTTGCTTGTAGAGCTTGCCGTCTGACGAAGGTGTGTCTGTGCCAACGATGCGCTGGAAGGCACGGCCGACGGCAGCGCTCATATCGCTAGCCTTCCACCCGTTCGGGAAACTGGAGTCCCAATCGACACTGTTAGGCTTCCACCATAGAGCAGCGTTGACAGCAGCACCTCCACCGAGAACACATCCAGCCATCTGGTCGGTATCGGTACAAGCAACGCCTGCGGAATCGACCCAGATCTGGTTGCAAAGACCTGGCACGTCGAAGCGAGTAAGACCTGTGCCTTTGAGCCAAGCTGGCCCCATAGTACCACCGAAGCGACCTAGGGATGGTGGGCCCTTCTCAATTAAAAGGACCTTCTTGCCGGCCTCAGAAAGCTTATCGGCCACAGGGATACCTCCAGCACCGCCACCAACGACAATGTAATCGTACGAGCCAGTAGGAGCAGGGCTACCGACGCAGGCTGTAGGACCGACAGATGTGGCGGAAGCAGTAGAGATAACAGAGGAAGTAGGAGTCGCGCCGCCCACGGGCGGCAGCTTCTGCCAGTCGGCGTACTTCGCGTTTCTGGCTGAAGCAACACTGATGCCGAAGATTCCTTGTCCGTTATCGTGCTGCGCGACGTCGGTTGGAGTGTATACCTTGTTGTTCTGGGCCCATCCAACGATCTGAACTTCTCCAGTCGGCAGCTGTGAGCCTGTTGCACCATTCTGGTTCCAAATCCAGCACCACTGGCAACGGTAGACCAACTCAAAGCTTGTGTCAGTAACTGTAGCGTTGAGCTGAGTCAATGTAGCGTTTCCGGTGTATGGTAAGGGTTGAACGTAGCCACTTCAAAATGTTAGCGATGTACTTGTGAGATCCAAAATCAATCCACTTACGTCGCGAAGGTAAAAGCGGTCTTGACAGCTGTACCATCCGGCCAAGCCACAAGCAGCAGAGCATTGGGCATACCTCCGTTGTGGCTGATTCCCGAATAACCTTGCTTACCGGTCCTCAATGAACCTTTCTTTGCAATATCAGCATGTCACTGATAGCCTCTAAGATAACATCCAACTCACAATGTAACCGATATACTCATCGTTGGTTCCGCCAGCCTCTGCAGGCAGAGCAAAACCCCATTCGAACCCACCAGTGGTTTGAGCTGAAGGTATCGTCTGCTTGTAGAACGTGATGCCAGTTCCAGGGTGGGTGTAAGTGGCCGCTTGAGCATCGACAGAGGAGGCAAAAAGAGAGGACAGCAGCGATGCTGCCTTGAAGAATGTAGTGACCTTCATTGCGAAGAAACGTCCAGCGAATAATGAAGAGCCGATCAGTCGAAGTCGCCAGCAAACCAGTGAGCGAGCTTGAAGTTTTGAAACAGGCGGTACACTGAGGTCTTATACATGCTCAACCTGCACTGACTTCTTCGCTGTCTCCATAGGGCCTAGCCACAGAACCAATCAACCAAAACATGATATATTCCCACGGAGCGCCATGCGCAAGACCGGTCCATGCCAGGTACGGCTTCTGCAGTGAGATGCATCCTTTGGACAATGATGTGCTCCGAACTCAAAGGCCTGATGATCATTCGCAGGTGTGTGATTGGGCGATACGGCGTCAAAAGACCCGGCCAGAAATTCGAGGCTGGTGTTTAATCTGTGAGCGCAATGTCGACGAGGTACCTTGATTGATATAAATTGATGAAACACGGGATGCAAGGCTCATCTGCCGGTTGTCCCTGTCAGCCAAGACGTCTAGTCCAGAAGGAGCCGCCCCGGATTCGCTAGGCTGCCCCAAAGCGGACTGGCAGTGGCGCTTCGTGCTCCCCATGCCGTTCATCAGAGACGTTCTCAAACACGTCTGCTGCATACCGATATCCCTCGAGAATTTCCCACTCCCGCCAAGCACTGTACTAGCATGTACCTTGTATTTAACGTCGGCCCCAGTTCCGGCTGCATGCTCCATACGGCTACCCCAACCAAACGGCGACTGCTAGCCAATGACTTGCCTCATTGCTTGAAACAGCTCTACCAGCAATAGACGGCAATATAATAAATTGTGATGTCTTCGGTTCCAATCTTTTCAGCCTATACCGGTCGTGTCTTGGTCCTGCAATTATCTATCGACTAATCATCAACCACCGGCATTAACCGCCGACTTCCAAATCCAACTCAGTGGCCATTGATCAATCTACGCCTGTTTGGTCTGGACTCGATATCTTGTCGCACATGACGCCGACCAAATCCTTCGCGATGTCAAAATGACTGCTCGCCTGGGGGTTGAGTAAGTCGGCCCTCCTAAGGCGCTACAGTAAGAACGTATGATCGGTCTACAACACAGTCGACAACTTGTTGCCAAGCTCTTTTTCTCCTCAATGAGTGTGACCAAATCGGACAACACGTGGCTTAAAGTCGGGGTGGGCACTACGATAGATTGTATACTATGAAGGTTTATTGATAGCATAGTCATGCGACTCAATGCCCTAATCGCTTACGTAGCTATGCTTGTCGGTCCAGGGCATCGACTGCCGACAGGTCCGTACCCAGTGCGGCGGACTGGAGGTTGAGGTACGGGTATAATCCCATATAGGAACCGGTGCCAAAGCGAAAGCGCGAAGTGCCAGCTTTCCTTCGCCACGCCAGTATGAAGTACCCAGCCATCATAAGCGCTTTGCTCGCTAGTGCCTCAGCACACACAATCTTCACCCAGCTTCACGTCAATGGAGTAGGCCAAGGACACACCACAGGTGTCCGCGTACCTGTAAGATGACTAGAAGGCACGCGCTGTCTTGACTCCTTTACTGACTTGCATGTAGACCTATGATGGTCCAATCACTGACGTGACCTCCAATGACATGATCTGCAATGGAGGGCCAAATCCGTTGAACCAGCCTCTTCCCAAGGACATCATCAACGTCAAAGCCGGCGACAAGCTCGCCACAGAGTGGCACCACACGCTGGACTCGACCCCTGAGACCGATAAGTCTGACCCCATTGACCCAGGCCACCTGGGCCCTATCATGATCTACCTCGCCAAAGTAGACAGTGCCTTGACGACTACCGTGACGGGACTGAAGTGTATGTCTTGACCACTCCAGTTCCTTGCAGCTTCCCTTTCTACGTCCACGTCTCTCGCATGTACCTCTAGCTTCTTACTGACAGACCTCCAGGGTTCAAGATCTACGAAGACGGCCTTGACTCAAACGGCACCTGGGCCGTAACACGGCTGTACAACAACAAAGGCAAAATCGAATTCACGCTGCCAAAGTGCATTCAGAACGGACAGTATGCCCACCCTCTTCCTATTCACTCCCACATCTTCACTTTCCCCTCCTCTTCCCTCCTATATACGACTTTCCTCAATTTTCGTGTTGACCATTAACCCCACACCCAGATATCTCCTCCGCGCAGAGATTATCGCGCTGCACGCCGCATCCAGCTACCCCGGTGCCCAGCTGTACATGGAATGCGCACAAATCAACGTATCAGGCGGCGGAAGCGCAAACCCATCGACGGTCAGCTTCCCGGGCGCATACAAGGAAACGGATCCGGGGATTAAGTTCCAGTTGTACTGGCCGGTGCCGACGAGTTATACGATCCCGGGACCGAGGCCGTTTACCTGTTGAAGGGAAAGGTTGAGGCTACGGTAAGAACAAGGGGACGGTTGACAAAAGGATATGTGCTGGAACGTAACAATGATTGTAAATATCCACATGACCATGTTGACATGATCTCACCCATCCAACTGCGTGACGCCAAACTCCTCGCTCTTAACCCAGAATTCCTCAAACCCATCATCACTTGTTCAAACTCAACCCCCCAAACACCCTATCCAGCTCCTCCGCCTCGCGAGACTGCCCAGCGCCAGACTGACCACCCTGACTCTGATCATGCCGCTGAGCTTGCTGCACCTGTCCCTGCGACTCAGGTACAGGCGTAGACTCGTCCACATTCTCTGGCTTCAGTATATGCACCCCACTATCCAACCACCCGGGCGCAACCCTCCTCTTCTCCGCCAGCTCCTCTGCGTCCCTCCGCTTTTTGTGCTCTTCCAGCGTCTTCCTCGCGTCGGCTTCGAGTTTGGCGAGGTGTTCTTGCAGCGCTGTGCAGCTGCGTAGGATCTGATCTGGATGCGCTGTTTGCCCGCTTGAAGACTGCACGTATTGCGGCGGCTCGGAGGAATTATTAGTTTGCAGGATGGACGGTGGAAGTGTGGAGGGGAGCGTGACGTAAGAGTATGGCAGGGGCACACTGTGGGGAAGCGAGAGGAAGGGGGAGACTGTGAGGGGGACTTGGGCGAGGAGGGGGTGCGGGTCTGGAGGGGTGTTAGTGAGGGTTGGCAGCAGTGTCAGGGGTGGGAGACTGACGCTCGTCGTGCATTGTGAGATTAATGTGTAGCTTGCGAGAATGATGGTATGGCTTGCGGGTTGAAGTGCAGGTTTTGTGTTGGTTGTAGTTTGGTGAATGGTGGGATGCTAGGGTGCGGGATGATGCGTGGTGGGGAAGATGGAGCTGTGGAGCTTAGATGCAGGTACCAACATTGGCACACGCTTGCACTCTCGCGAGTTGAGACATCATGAGAACGGAGACGATGATCATGTGAGACTAGACATCACAATCGCTGTAATAGCAGCCGTCAAGTTTTAAGAGCGCGGAACGGCAGTGCGACCAGCCGCACCGAGCTAGATTAATCTACCAAGTAGATAGCTATAAGGTATAACATGTTACTCGAGCCCCCTAACCCAGTACACGTTTTCGTTCAACCTGGAACCCGTAACCCCGTCGCGAAGTGGCATTACAAACATATGGAAATTCGAAATAAAGAGGGGAATCTCGAAGGAAGAATATTGAAGATCGACGCCTTAGTGCACAGCAACCATTGCCATGACACAAACACCATGCGATATGCTTAGCGACGGCCGTGCGAGCGGTTGACGCTGCCCTGCATAGAATCGACCTCGGTTTCGAGACGCTTGATCTCGGCGTGGCTGGCCTCGAGGTCCTTGTTGAGGCGGTCGCGCTCTGCAATGAGCTTCTGCTCCCACTGCCTGAATCGCTGCTCCTCGACCTTGACCTGCTCGGTGAAGCGCTTGCGGAGAGCCTCCTCCTCTTCCTTGAACTTGGGGTTGTCGAGCTTCCTTGGACGAGCCTCGCCAAACTTCCGTGTCTCCATCTGCTGTGCGCGGTACGCCTCGTAGTGGTTCTCCTCGGTGGTGTGGATAAGATCGAGCATGTGGGTTCGGATGAGGATAGCGCGAAGCTTCTTGAAGTCGCAGTGCTCCTCATTCTCGACTTCGGCGACACCCCAGGCGTACTGGCGGCCCTTAACGGTGCGGCCGTCGTTGGTCTGAACGTCCTTCTCAGAGCCAATAACGGAGAAGGGCATGGCGTCGATCAGGCCGTGGGCGTGCGCCATGGCGGCAGCATCGTCGTCCTCGAGCGGGGGCTGGTAGATCTTGATGCCCTGAGCATCAATGACCTGGCGAACCTATACGTTGTCAGCGATTTTAGTTCCGGGCTCCTGCACTTCCACATACCCTCGTCTTGAACTTCAAAAGGTCCTGGGGGCTCAAGGTGTCGGCCTTGGCAATGACAGGGATCAGGTTGACGCGTGTGCACAGCTTCTTCATGACTTCGATGTCGAGGGGCTTCAGGGTGTGGCCAGTAGGACGGATGAAGTACAAGCAGGCATGTACACGAAGATCGATCTTCTCCTTACGCTGCGGCTGCTGCTCCTGCAACATGTAGGACTCGTGCTGATCGTCGAGGAACTCGATAATGGGCTGCCACGAATCGCGGTTGTTGACGTAGTCGCCGAAACCGGGCGTGTCAATGACAGTCAGACGGACTATAGCTGTTAGCCAGGGGTTCGTATTTCGCAGTGTCGCCAGATGTACCCTTGAAGAACTTCTCCTCGAGCTCGGCCTTGGTAATCTCAATCTCGACAGTCTTGTCCATCTGCTTGTGGTGTCGTCGCTTGTGGTCGGCATAGTTCTTGATGGTGGTGGAGAAGAGGGTGTTGATGAAGGTTGTCTTTCCGAGACCGGACTCGCCAGCAACCTGCACGCGTGAGCATTGCAAAAGACATTTGTATGGGGCATATCTACCATGATAGTGAAGGCAGCACCGCGCTTGGCGACAATCTTGTGCCTGTCCTGCGTTAGCTTGGCACGCATGCGTGTCCTGAGAGGGGTCGCACCTCTGGTTGGGCAGCTGGACGAAAACGTTAGCAAGAAATATGCAGAGCTTGCAAGAAGGGTACACGCACATTGGCAATGCCAATTGGGGAAGCTGACTCGGCCATTGGGAGCCTATGTGTTCAGGCTGTTGTGTGTACGGAGGTCTGGGGCGGGCGTCAGTTGATTTGACTCGAGACGACGTGTATTACTGAGTGCAAAACTAACGTGGTCGGCTCGTGGGCGGATGAGAAGAGCTGGCACCGTCAGAAGAAGTGCGCGCTGCAGTTGTGGGTGGAGAGTGCTGGGGAGGTGTGGTGGTGTTTTTGGCTGTCCCCTTTCTGCACGACGCCCATTCGGCAAGCACTGACCCTGAACGGGGAAACGACGCTACTGCGCGCCGGCGCTTTTCTAGCGGAGCTCGGGCCCGCAACTCTCAAAAAAGTTCGAGATGATGCTCTCGCACGCCCCGCTGCGATAAGCAGACAGTCTCGAGGTCGAAATACTGTTGAAGACCTCCACGATGAAGACTGACTTCCAGGTGTGTCTCGCGACTCTTACTGTATTTCTGCGACGCTGCTAACATAATACTAGTTTTCCAATCTGCTAGGCACCGTCTACAGCAGAGGCAACCTGCTGTTTACTCCAGATGGAACATGTCTGCTGTCGCCGGTCGGTAACAGGGTGACCGTGTTCGACCTTGTCAAGTAAAAACGCTCCAAACTTTGTTCATGTGACCGTACTGACAATCTTCAGCTCCAAATCGTATACACTTCCATTTGCACACCGAACGAACATTGCCCGCCTAGCACTGAACCCTCGCGGCAATCTGCTCCTCTCAGTCGACGAGAACGGTCGCGCGATCCTCACGAATGTACCCCGCCGAGTGGTTCTCTATCATTTCTCACTTCGCGGTGAGGTCACCGCTCTCGCGTTTGCGCCGTCCGGACGACACTTCGCTGTAGGAATTGGCAGACAGATCGAAGTATGGCATACCCCATCCACACCAGATGTCGCAGAAGGTGATCTGGAGTTTGCGCCGTTCGTGCGACACCGAATGTACACAGGACACTACGACGCCGTTCAGAGCATTGAATGGTCGAGTGACTCGAGGTTCTTCCTTAGCGCATCCAAGGATTTGACGGCGCGGATATGGAGTATTGACGAAGAGGAGGGTTCTGCGCAAACTACGCTAGGAGGTCACAGACAGGCAATTGTGGGTGCATGGTTCTCCAAGGATCAAGAGACAATATACACTGTCAGCAAAGACGGAGCGCTGTTCATGTGGAAGTACATGCTGCGATACGATGCGCCGGACGACGCCGACGAGGATGACGATGACAATCTGCAATGGGGCATCGCTGAGCGACACTTCTTCAACCAGAACGACGCCCACGTCACATGCGCCGGCTTCCACCCAGAATCGAAACTGCTGGTCACAGGCTTTTCGAACGGTACCTTCTTCATCCACGAACTTCCCGAGTTTGCGCAGATCCAGAGCTTGAGCATATCGCAAAACGACATCGATTATGTTGCAATCAACAAGACTGGAGAGTGGCTAGCTTTTGGTGCATCGAAACTGGGACAATTGCTGGTCTGGGAGTGGCAGTCAGAGTCGTACGTTCTGAAGCAGCAGGGACATTTCGATTCGATGAACACGATTGCATACTCCCCCGAGGGCCAACGCATCATCACAGCGGCCGATGATGGTAAGATCAAGGTCTGGGACGTAAACTCTGGATTTTGCGTCGTGACGTTCACTGAACACATGGGTGGCGTGACAGCCTGCGAGTTTGCAAAGAGGGGCAATGTTCTGTTTACCGCGAGTTTGGACGGTTCAGTAAGAGCTTGGGACCTGATCAGATACCGTAACTTTCGCACATTCACAGCACCATCACGATTATCCTTCTCATCGCTAGCGGTCGACCCTAGCGGCGAAGTCGTGTGCGCAGGCTCGATCGACACATCAGACATCCACATCTGGTCTGTACAGACCGGTCAATTACTCGATACGCTGTCTGGACACGAAGCGCCGGTCTCGTCACTAGCATTCTCACCAGACGCATCGACGCTGGTCAGTGGAAGTTGGGACAAGACGGTCCGGGTCTGGAACATTTTTGCTCGAACACAAACCAGCGAACCCCTCCAGTTGGTGGCAGACGTCCTCTCTATCGCCTTCCGACCCGACTCGAAGCAAATAGCTGTCACTACCCTCGATGGTCAATTGACTTTCTGGAACGTGTCTGATGCCGCACAAGAGAGTGGCGTTGATGCTCGTCGCGACGTGTCAGGTGGACGCAAGATGTCGGATCGTCGCACAGCAGCCAACGTTGCTGGCACCAAGTCTTTCACAGCAGTCAGGTATAGCGCAGATGGTTCCTGCGTTCTTGCAGGCGGCAACAGCAAGTACATCTGTCTGTACGACGTACAATCCGGTGTATTGCTTAAGAAGTTTACTGTATCCGTCAACCTGTCGTTGGACGGCACACAAGAGTTCTTGAACAGCAAGCTGTTGACTGAGGCTGGGCCGCAGGGTCTTATTGACGAAACGGGCGAAGCTTCAGACATCGAAGGTCGACGCGATACCACATTACCTGGTGCTCAAAAGGGCGTCGGTGCAAGAAGAACACGTCCAGAAGTCCGCGTGCCAGCAGTAGCGTTCTCGCCAACAGGGCGGGCTTTCTGCGCAGCCTCAACAGAAGGACTCCTCATTTATTCCTTGGACAACACATTCCAATTCGACCCCTTCGACCTCGACATCAGCGTTACACCCTCCACAACCCTTGATACCCTCGCTCAGCAAGAGTACCTCAAAGCTCTCGTTATGGCCTTCCGTCTCAACGAGCGCAATCTTATCCGCCGCGTCTATGAAGCCACACCGGTCGAAGACATACCTCTGGTCGTTAAGGACCTACCACCTGTATACCTTGGTCGATTATTACGTTTCGTTGCTGTACAGGCTGACGAGTCACCGCATCTCGAGTTCAACTTGGTATGGATTGAATCGTTACTGAGCAAGCATGGACGATGGATGAAAGACAACAAGACCGGTCTGGAAGCTGAGCTGCGAAGCTTAGAGAAGGCCGTCAGGCGGATACAGGCCGAGCTCGCAAGGCTGGCGGATGAGAACATCTACCGGATAGAGTATCTGCTTGCGCAGCCTGTCGAGAAGGCTGAGAAGCCAAGAGGACTCGACTTCGAGGTCAAGGCGATTGGAAATGGCCTTGTGGACGAGGAGATGATTGACGGCGAGGACGATGAAGATGATGAAGGAGGGTGGGAAGGGTTCGAATAATTGCGCTATATAGTTATAAAACTTCACAAGGACGCACATTTACTGGTTTACTGAACGTCTTGATTTACACCATGCTTTGTTGAATGAGCTACAAGGAACGTGATGCGCCTTCCAGGCTTGCACTTGGCCTATCTTACTATCCCCAAAATACGCTAGCGCAACCCCACATCCAGCCATCATACGTCAGCCATCTCTCATCCAATTCTTGTAACAAACACTTTTAAACGCAATCCCATCAACTCTGTCTGAAATCTAGCACAACTCATCTTTTGCGGGAACGATGTCGTCCAGCTGCCCCTCCATCGTACATCCAGATGCGTCCTCAATCAACGTGACTTCACTCCTATACAAGCAGTATCAGGATGCCCCGAAAGACGACTGGGAGCGACTGTTCAAGTGCTGGGGTATATCTGACTGCGGAGATTGTCATCACAGCAATGGATTTTGTGGATGGTGTCCGATCGTAAGTGGTTCTTCCGCCTTCTCGTCCCACCTTAGCTCTCTTCATACCCGTAGTACGAGAACAGGGAAAAACAACAGTTCGCTTCCCAATCAGTGCACTCACATCACTACAGTCCTCAACATGTCTCCCTCTACCCAGGGACCGCCTCTCCAAAGCCTTCCCGCTCTTGACCCCAGTCCGGTACAAAGACATCTGCGCCCTCGGATCCGAGCGCTTCGAGCTCAGAACCGGTGGCCTGGGATGTCAAGTCTCAACAATCACTTTCTTAACCGCCATTGTCACCATCTTTGCTACCATTTTCGGCCTCTTGGTCATCTACGGCCTGGCGACTGTCATCAGATGGATCTACCTAGCGACTAAGGGAAGCAACAACGGCTGGGTACAGTATGGGGATGGCACCGGCGAGATCTGGGTCAGGAAGGAGAGCTGGGGTAGATGGTGGAGGAGAATCACTGGGCAGCAGAAAGAGTATGAGGTTGAAGAGCTTGATGAAGGGACGAATGAGAGGGGCTGGAATTGGTGGAGGGCGGCGAAGAGGAGTATCAATGGTTCGGCGGATGAAGGGAGGGTGCGATTGGAGTAAGGACTCTCTGAACATGCGACTGCACCTTCTATTTGGTTCACTTGATCGGCCTGGAATGATGAGCCAAGAAGAGGACCGGCAGAGCTCCGTCCTGCGGTTCTCACCTTCACTTCAAGTCCACCTCCTATGGCGTCATCAGGCGCAACATACGAGCTCTCGATTCTACTCTCATCTGTCTCCTCTGGTGCAAGTGAGTCTCTGCCTGCGCTACGCCCGCCATATAATCCACGCTTCTTCATCTTTTCAACAAAGTTCCTTCTTCACCCCGTTCTTCACAGTAACCACTTTCTACCAACTCAGCAATTTCTTCATAACTTTCTCACGTCAATAGCTGCTACCATTTTCAGGGTGCCCGGCAGCACCGTATCCCTCAGGTCGGATGCAGGCGACTCTGATGCGTCTGTGTCCGGGGTATCCGTACACCATCTCGCTCAAGCGATATCGATAAAGCCCCTCTCTTCCAGAACCTCTTAATAAAGAGTACGTATGTTCCTATTCCACACAAGTGTTCAGGGCTGATATCACCTTAGAACGTCAAGATTACCATGAGTGCCTCGCTGCTGCTCGCCGTGCCGAGAGCAGTGACCGCCAGGCCGACTTGCGTGACGTTTTTCGACACTCAAGCCGCCGTACTAAGCACAAGTGGAGTGCCGTGAAGCTCTCTGATATTGGCAAGAAGACGGCAGACGCGCAAGCGCAGGCGCAGGCTGCCGTCGATAGCTCTGCGCAATGTCACCAGCATCACAGAAGACTTGGCTGCGATAGCGCGCGAGCGACAAAATCTCGTGTTCCTTGCCCCCTGCTCGTACAGATGTATTAAACATTCTACGGGTCTCTCGGAACTCAAGACCCCGTCCAGCGCAAACAAATCCGCCCACAGTCGCCCAACGCTGCCCCCACGGAAGATGCCACTCAGGGCAACATCAACAAGCATTTAAAGTGGGAGCTTAGTACCAGCAAGACTCTGAAAAACGATCTTGAGCCCGCCGTGCGTGCTCGAAGTGCTTACATACCTCCACATCTTCGCAACGGGGCTCCTGGAGCTTTGAAGTCAAAGTCTATCCTGACCGCCGACGACCAGGCTGTACCGACATCCACTGAGCAAGCCGAGCAGAAGAAGAGGTTTGTAAACGCTTTCAAGCGCGCCTTGAGCTAACTTTCGAAGGGTTGAATCCGTATGCATGCACTGCCTTTTCCAGGGCCCAAGAAGCTAAGGATCTTAGTCCACGAGACTCCTACGATAACAAGTCCGCAATGTCGAGTCGAGACTGTCCTATTGCACACTGGGTACGGACTCCCGGTTTGGCTACTAGTAAGGCCTGCTGAGCGTTGCTTCGGACGTGCCTGCTTTCTCTTCCACAGGTTGAGTAGGTATCATTAGTGACTTCAGTGAGAATAGAATCTTTCAAGAACATACGTACGGATATGACGCGACACTTACATGACGGCCTCGTGGGAAGCAAGAGATATATAAGTTTGGAATAAGCTTCTAATTCTTGGTGTACTTAAGACAGCCAAGATGACCATACTATGTTTTTTCACCGAGACAGCCTTGCCTTCGCACAACCTATCACACTGGTGAGCTACTGTCTATCTAAGAGACATCATCAGGCGTCCAAATCAGGCATCAACCCTTGTGCAACCTGCATGCTGACGGACCCCGCCTCAGCCTCGTCATCGTCTTGAATATCAGCGTGCAGCCTCCATGACTCAAGACCCAACTCCCAGACACAAAACATCTCAACGAGTTTATATCCGAGCGTGTTTCGTAACATGGATCGTATCACTCTCAGAAAACTCACCCGTCGCGTCGCGCTAACGCTCATTATTACCCTCGAGTTGGCGCATTACTACCTCCAACTCCTCGACCGCTGGGGCCCACCGCGAAAATCCAACCCCAAGCTCAGGACTGTAGCGAAACTCAACGAACTCGGATTCATCACAATCTCTTGCTACAGAATCACAGAACACGCCGTCGACGTCAAGTTGGGCAGATTGCTAGTCCAGGGTCTTGGCATCGAGGCCTTGCTTTGGGCCGTTGCGGTGTGGAGTGCTGTGTGCGTGGGATACGATGTTTGGGTTACGCCTGATAGTCTGGCGAGCTTGATGCAGCTAATGGCTGTCGATGTGCTGATGTGGACAGAGATGCTGTCTTCGGCGGTGGGGTTGGTAGAGAGGAAAGAAGGCGACGTTTTGTCTGTTATGGATGAGAAAGAGAGGCTGAATGAGAAGGAGGAGGTGTGAGCTGCACAGCGGGGAAGTGTGCATAGGCAAGGCTGTGTGAAGATTGAGAACTGAAAATGGTATTGGTGCATCCTCGAAAATCCCCAGGCTCATGCCAGTCGTGTAATGGTTGACTGCAACTCTGCCCGTACGCCGTGTAACGCCATGCCGTGCCTTTTGTCTACATCGTAGTCATCCCAACAGCTGTAGATTGCGCATCAGAAGCGTTGTGCTCGTCGCTGCACAATTCGAATCGTCACCTTGACTCGAGTTCGCCCACTCGAGAATCTTTCATATGACGGCTCCTCCTAGGAGCGCTCGGCGACCTTGTTCTCTGCAGTATTGTCAGCGCACTATCCACAAACATCCCTCAATCTCCAATCTTCGAAAATTCTGCGCCTATGCTGATCCTTCTATCCACCTTCTCTTCCCAGCCTGTCCTCCTCATGCGGAATTCAGTGACTTACTCTGCTGTGTCAAAAGCAGCCCGTAGCGCTTCTTAATAGTGACGCGGTGCCTGCTGTACTTGTCGTCGGGCGAGAAGCGGGCCGGGTGCGCGCTCTTGGAGACCTTTCCGTCGATGACCTTTTGCAAGGTGTACACGCGCTTGGTCGGGTCCGCGGGATCGGCAATGTACATGAGATGCATGGCGGCGGTTGTGTGTTTGCGAGATTTGGTGGAGGTTCTGGGTGGACGACGTTGGTGTTAACGGTTGGTGAGCTTTGCGAATTTCGAGACGGAATTTTTGAGATGGAGGACCGTGCTCAGCGGACCGCCGAGACATCCCTGCACCTTCCATCTTGCCAATGGTTGACCAATCAGCGCGAGGTAGCGTTTAAGCTCCACATCAGCAACACCACCACGTCGTCACTTTCTCGAAACCTGCCCCAATCTGTGCCAGTACTGCGTATACAATCGCACGCAGTCATGTTCAAGCTCATCCTGCTTCTCGGTCTCTGGACCCTCACAGCAACTGCCCAATTCGGCTTCTTCGACCAAATGTTCGGCGGAGGACAGCAGCAACAGCAGCAAGCAAACGTTCGCAGCGATAGTAGTTGGTACCAGGCACAGTACGAGGACGGTACGTCCAAACGCTCTCCCCCTCGGTTCCTAAGGATTTCTCTGTTGTGATTCTATACTAACATTCGAACAGCGCAATGCTCCCACTACCTCTGCCCCGGCACCTTGTCCTGCGTACACTTCCCGCACCACTGTCCCTGCGCATGGGAAGCGACGGAAGATAAAGTTGAGTTGGGCGAGGGGATTTCGATTTGTGGTTCAAAGGGTGGGTGGAAGGAGGGCGAGTTTGCGAAGAAGGTCGAGTTGGCTAGGAAGGGGCTGCTGTAAGAGATGAATACCAATGGACGGGAGGAAAGAGCACTGTTTGTGGAGAAAGAAGACTTTATTCAGGACGAAAAAGGAGAGGAGGTGGTGTAGCCTACGACTGTGGTGGTCATGAGATACGGAAAAAAGACGAGAACCGTTCAAGCCGACGAACAAATTTGGTCTCCGATCGACACTACATTGATCTGAGCATCGTGGGGTATCATGTAGTTGAGCATCCTTAATCTCTGCCAGAATCCTTCCTGAAAATTCCCAGAAGAAGCGCGATCGTTCCGAGCGAGCAACATAAAGAACGTATATGTTGATGCCCAGGTACCTCCACGTTGTCAGGTTGGATCTTCCGCTAGTGCCCGATTTAGTATAGACGCCTTTTTCTTCAGACAAATCGTAGTTCAGATAGTCACCAATACAACACGCACGCACTACAGTCGTACCTATTGATAGTATATGCCAGGAATGAATAACACCCCAGCCACGGTGTATCTTTGAGAATAGAGTTACCTCCAAAACGGAGCGTTACTGGGCCGCGCTTCTTCACTCTGCAGCTGACCCATGAACAGAACGTTGTTGAGAAGCCCTTGGAGTCGAGATATCCAGGTGGTGGCTGATGCCTTGGCTAATGAGGTCTTAGTGAATAATATCTGGCAGTGAACGTCATGACCGGAAGACGGAGCACTGCCATCAACCCAATTCATGACGCGCACCAGTTGCCAGCCTGTCCATACGCTATCTCCTAACCCTTTCATGCACTTGCTGTGAGAGCTGACAAAGACCGTTCAGCAGGCACGCGGCATCACACAATGTGTTGCACCTGGCGAAGATCGACGACGATGACAGGAGCTTCGCATTTCTAAGCAACAAACGCCATCCGCGGCCGGTGTGTGCATCGCAGCATGTCACCATTCGTGTGCGAAGTTGCACGCCGCATCATTCAAAGATTCGTTTAGTAGTTGGAAAGTGCGGTTGACGATGGTGAACAATCAAGCACTTGTGTAGTGATAGGTCTGGATAAGGACTCCGGCGAGAAGTCCGAAACTGTGGAGAACCCTTGAACCTTCCCCCATCTTTGCAAGGTCGTCCCCACAAAAAACTGCGACTGATTCGAAAAAACGGCTGCAGGTGCACGAAAGGCTGTACTTCGAAGCTTCTTACCAAATCACATCGAGCTAGCTTCCGCGGCCGGCGCACTTATTGCTGCAAGGCTTGAAGGACTCATCGATCATCGGGACAAACGCCGGTATTCTTCAACACTTTTATGACTTTTCTGCTGCGGCTTCATACACGACACAAGATTGATCAACCAGAAAGAGCTGGGATCGTTGAGGCACTGCCACAACCACCAAAATGGCAGCCCACGATATCGAGAAGGGAATACCCGATGACGATACTACAAGAACCGAAATCAGCAACACCAACAACAACCTCTATCCACCCAGCCACACATCCTCGAGCACCTCCCAACACGACTCAGAAGAGGAGGAAATCTCAAGAATACCAACCCACACAACCCACGCATCTCACACTTCCCGGACAGCTAAATCCAAGAATGCCCTTACCGACCTCGCCAAAATCATCACCGCACGCAGCAATGCCTCCGTCATCAACCCCGGGCCCCCACCCGACGGTGGCCTAAAAGCCTGGACACAATCCTTCATGGGCCACTTCGTGATCTTCAACACATGGGGCATGATCGCAACCTTTGGCGTCTTCCAAGCGCACTACACTCAGGACCTTGGTCTCGAACCGAGCGCTGTGTCCTGGATAGGCTCGATGCAGATGCTCGGGCACTTTGCGCTGGGAATGTTTAGTGGGAGGATGTTTGACGCGGGGTATTTCCACTGGGTGATAATCCCGGGCATGTTGTTGGCTGCGCTCGGGACGATGATGACGAGTTTGTGTTCTCAGTACTGGCAGTTCTTTTTGGCACAGGGATTGATGACTGGGCTGGGGTGTGGGTTGCAGTTTGCGCCTACTATTTCCCTCGTCACTACGTACTTCAGCAAGAACAGGAGTGTGGCGGTTGCTATCATGGCGAGTGGGAGTGCGACAGGCGGACTCATCTATCCTACCATCGCACGCCAGTTGATGCCGAAGATCGGGTTTCCGTGGACGGTCAGGGTTATGGGGTTCATGATGCTGGCAATAGGCTCCATGTACTGCTCTCTGCTCAAACCCAGACTGCCACCGAGGAAGAGTGGACGGTTGTTTGAGTTCAGTGCGTTTAAGGAGCCGCCGTACAGTCTGTTTCTTATGGGCATCTTTTTGATTGGACTGGGACAGTATTTTGCGTTCTACTATATCTCCTCTTTTGCTGTTGATGTCCTGGGCGTTCCGTATGCAACAAGTGTCAACGTTTTACTTGTGCTTAACGGGGTTGGAATCTTGGGGCGGTTGCTACCGAGTTACTTCGCGGACAAGTATACTGGGCCGTACAACGTCCTGATACCATTCTGTTTCGTATCATCTATCGTTTTGTTCTTCTGGCCGTTGGTTCACAGCGAAGCTGGACTCTACGGGTGGGCAGTCTGCTACGGATTCTTTGTAGCAGGATTTCAGGGTATCTTTCCTGCGGTCTTGACGACTCTGACAAAGGACATGAGTCGAGTGGGAACAAGAAACGGCATGGGCTTTGCGATCATGGGAGTTGGCACGCTCGTTGGCCCGCCAATTGCTGGTGCGCTGATCCAGAGTTATGGTGGTAGTTATTTGGCTGCGCAGATGTTTGGAGGTGCGACAGTGTTGATTGGAAGTTGCGTGTTGGTTATCGGAAGAGCAGCAATCACTGGATGGAATGTCAGAGCGCGAGCTTAATTTCATTGAGAAGGAGATATCAGCATTTAACTGTTCAAATTTCAAATTTTTCAGTGCATGAATTCTACAACTACGTAACAGTACGTGATGTCGATTTCTGACCTCCTACATCTCGATTTATCGCCACGATGCGAGACTCCCTTTCTGGAACTGACAATGCTACCTTTTCGCAATGCAACATGCAATGACATCATTACACAACGGGTTCATAGATCCCGACGCCTCATCAGAACGTGCATCAGTCTGGTATCGATAGCACACCATTCTCCGCACCGCGCAAAGCTTCCAACGCACGCTCCAACTCATGCTCCTGAACCATCACAGTCCCCGCTCTTGCTGTACTAAGATAGCTCATCTCAACAGGTTTCTGGAATCCTTCAGACGTCTCTCCAACCAAGCGCCCTGCAACGCCGCACACGATGCCTGTGCTCTCCGCGGGAAGATCACGGAGGTCCAGCGTGATTGGGATAAGATACTCGTCCTTCGATCCCATCAGGACGTTTGGCGAGAAGTTCGCCAGCAGTGTGTGATCGATGAGGAGCGATGCAGGTTCGCTGTCGGCTAGCGTGAGTGATAAGAATTTTGGGCAGGGAGGTGAGATGAGGCATTTTACAAGGCCGAGGTGCAATGCGTCCGCTGCAGGATTTGTTGAGCCGTTGCTCTGGCTGTCTCGACGACTGCCGCACTGCACAAGGCGAATCTGTGAGTCGACAGTGGGGACGATGTTGCGGCGTTTGAGCGTGGCGAATGTGCGTACTTGTAATTCCGAGACGGTTGCTGGGGGAGGTGTGCCAGGCGGCTGGACTTCAAAAGTCGTTACCGACGGCTTGCGACTGTGGTGGTTGGGGTTGATGTACGATGAGGTTTGATCCTCAAAATGTAGACCCTTGTCTTCTAGAGCCTGGATAACTTTGTTGCGATAACGTGATGGGACGAGGATGTAGTCTAAGAAGTAAGTTGTGATGAAAAAGATCGATCTGTCATCGTCAGTTTCGTTTCGCGATTTCATCGCTATCGTACTTACATGCCAGCTAAAGCGAGAGGTCCGGTCAACTCCAAAACACGACGGTCTGCATCGAGGCCCTCACCATCGATCTGCATTACCACAAAGTCTTCTGTGGTGATATGGATTTGGTTCCTTGAAGTGACATCTAGTAGATTGAGGACAGGAACAAAGAGTTCGTCTACAAGTTTCCGAGAGCAGACGACTGAACATTCGACTGGCGTTACTGAGATGTTGATGAAAGGGTGCTCATCATCCCAGCCATCAGGCGGCTGGACAGCACCGTTACCATCACCGATACTGCTATCACATGGTGCAGTCGGCAACACTAGTCGAAGGATGGCTTGAAGGAAGTTGCTGTAAAGATGTAACGGGATGTGAAGGAGAGCGAGTCGTGTGTCCTGGAATGACAACATGTTAGTAAGAGGTTTTAGGTGGAAGGAACGAAGCATATGGCGGACATAAGACATGCCTCTCATGCATCCGTGCATACGCCCCACACAACCAGTCCAGACAGGTACCAGGCATGAAGTATTTTGACGCAACGCACACAGCAATTATGAATGATAAGATACGCACCAGGAACTTGATATCTGCACTCAGCAATGTCTGAGATGAATCCATGACGTGTAAGTACGCAGATAAGACTAGCCCACGGATAGCGACCGGTAGCGTGGTTGCGGGTGATGTTGTGGATACCTTTCGGGTGAGCAAGCACAAGCTCGACAGGGCTGAAGCCAAGGCTGGGGAACGATCGCGAATAGACCTATGAGCGAACGCCTAGTATCCGATCTGCTTGGAAAAAAGCAATGCGTATCCCAGATGATGTGAGTTGTGCGAATGTACAATATGCAATTCAAAACACAGGTGGCTATCGGTTGATGTGTTCTTGTCCGACAGGCCAGTGAGAGGTGTCGTTTTTGAAACCGAAATTCATTCCAAAAGCTGGGTCCTGAATGTCACTCGACGTGTAGAGCGTATAACGGCCGAACGATGACGATAGTGTGGACGGGATGCTCAAGCTTTAACGTAGAGGATTGGATTCCTTCGACAGCCAGCAGCACGGGTGAGTGCTGGGGTAGTTTGACAGGGACCGAAACCGCTGGAGCCGCTGTACACCTCTTGATGTCGATGCCAAACAAGGGCAGTAGTTTGTGGTCTGGGCTTGGAGGTAGAGTTGCGGCGTGGGAAAGAAGACCTCTCTTTCGTGATTGGCTGGCAGTCTCCGAAGACTTGCAGCTCAATCTACCTTGCAGTTCGTGTCGAAAGTGCTATGCGTAGAAGCGGGGCGTGGGGGCAGACTTGAGTGTGAAGGGGTTAGAAGCGGCTGGAGGCTAGTCCCGTGCCTGCACGTTATGCGGTTGCTGGCGCTGACGAAAGCGCAGCAAAAGGCCAATGTAGGGTGATTGCCGAGCACAACAATGAGCAAGGCTAGAGTAAAAGGTCTGGCAAGATCCGATATCTGGACATGCCGGAGTTTAAATGATTCAGTACACTAGTGTGGAGCAGATCTTTTATGATAGCCCTCCGAAGTTGGTGACTCGAAACCTGGGATCCGAAATTTTCCCATTCGAAGCATCGTGCTGAGAACTTCAGAGATAAGACCATCGGCCAGCCAGAAAGTCAGCGAACAGTGAAGAAAATGACTATGAGGTTGTCGACATCAGGGCAGGGCAGTCACAGTGCATCACCTTTGTTACTGGCCAGGTCATGCAGCGCTTCTTGAAGAGGAAAGGACGGCCGTGCACACATCGTCGTCGTGCATTGTTGTTGCCCGAGCCGTGACCTCATCTGCCACCACGACATTGCGTACCTGAGATGTACCTGGCAGTGAAACGCGATCTTAATAATGGCGATATCACACAGCATCGGGCGCATGGTGGGTTTCCTGCTGCATATCGGTCGGTAGCGGGAAGCTCAGTTCGCGAAGGTCCTCCTTCAGCTAATCACATTACTCAGACTCAAATCATCTTAACGCGCTCGAAGCTGAGCACTGACATGCAGCATGGTGACGGACTTTAGTGTTGCATGCCTGAATCGTATGTACGCCCTCCCATGAGGTAAGCCGAGCTGCTATACCATGGATAGCCGGCGCGCGTCGTGGACCATATTTGCTGATCACTCTTCTCTCGATGTCGTTGCAACTCTCAATGCTTTGAACAAGCTCGCAGCTTGAAGTCATTCGAGCACGGTGCAGAAAGGAATGTCACAACTGACAGCAACGAGTACCAGGTGTACCTTCCTTTACGCTCATACGACGTTAGCCTACGCTACCCCGCAACCAACCCGTCGTCTGTGCGCCGACAAATGCTCATCCAGCCATCATACTGGCCAAGCAAAAGATGACGTGCAGCAGAACGGGAGAGCTTCCCAGATGCTCGCAGCACAATGTGACCAGAGCGGATTCCTTCGAGTAGAAGTTGCAGCTGGACCCTTGCCTGGAGGCCCCCACGCGTCTCAGCACATGCATGACGGACCGTCAAGCATCAATACGAACAGCCGCCTCGAATCATAAATTCAAGCAATACGAGCATGGTGTTCATCGACGAACTTTTTACAGCATTGCTGAGCACGCTCACTGAACCACCAAAGACTGGCCAGTCGCATCGCGTCCGCGGATCTCAAATGCAGAGCTGACCTACCTCTCAGATACCAAGAACATCATCACTCGTGTCTCCAAAGCAGATCACACGACTACAAATGACGTACAGCAACTTCGACCGATCAACAATGTTTCATCGCACCGCATCCAGCGATAATGCAATGTAATCTCTCTGACCATGGATTTTGTCATGAATTTCCCATGATCGTTCGATGGACTTATTCTACATCTCCAATAAAAGTGAAGGAGATGGATTGCCTGATTAGGTAACTTTCCACAACCATCAATCATGGCAGACACCGGAGTGAAAGCTACCAAACTGCCTAATCGGGTGATTCTGCATTGCCATCGATCACGGTCCTTCACAAAGTGAAAGCCCTTCGCACCAATCAGCTTGTCGCATTAGCGAACCACTCACATTTAATGCCACTTTCCGTATGGCGAACAGAAAAGAGGGCACCGATGTGAGAGAATACACACTTTCGCTCATCTTTACTGAGCTGCAAACTAAAAAAAAAAAAAAGCTCTGGACTGTTCGCCTCACGTGATTCCACACTATACGCTGTCATATATGTATGTCATATAGGTACTCGAGATAACTTGCCATGTCGACCGTCTCCCTTTCATATCAATCAACCCTCCATCGAGCTTCATCTCACTCATATGCTTGGAAACATAATCATATAAGCCCTCGATTGCCTCTCCGCCAACGTTACGCCTCTCATTAAGTCTACCAGCACAAGCGTAGTCGAGCGAGCGTAGAAGGTGAGCCACCAACCCCAGTAGCGAAATTTTGACATCCTCCAGGCTTCTTATCGACCCACGTTCTGCAAAAAGCCCGTGTCAAAATGAATATCTATGCGTCTAATCACGAAGAATGTACATCAACCGAGGTAGCACTTTCCTCTTTCGGAGGGACTCCAACCATGACTGTGAAGCACTCCTACTCACGTTTACGTTCTTGATAATCGCGACGAAGTGCAAAAGAGCTCACGATGCGTTCGCAACAGGAGACTTGACATGTCATTCAGTCGTCATTCATAAGTCGTTGTTAGCAAGCCCAAATACCAACATAACGCCATTTCCACCACAAAAAGTCACCTCACCGTTCCCTCTTCATGTACTTGTACTCATACAACTGCCTCTGTCCCTTTCCCTCATCCACAACCCCACACTCCTCCCTCCCCCACTGCCTCAACAGCACCTTCCCAAGCAGCTCCTTCTCACTCGCAGCACTCCTCTGCACCTCTTCCCACTGGCCATCCCTCTTCCCTACAACAGTCCTCGTGCGCTCCTTCATGAGCTTGGACAGGAGAGTGGAGAGCTGCTCGTCCATGGCGGCATTGATGGCGGCGTGGTCGTGCGCTTGGGTTTCTAAGCGCTGTTGAAGAGAGGAGATTTCGGAGTGCAGGGAGTGGAGGGTAGATTTATGGGTGGCTTTGAGGGAGGTAAGGGTGGATGTGTGTGAAGACTCCAGTGTCTTGAGCTCGGTGACTTGGTTTTTGATGATTGCGCGGAGGCTAGCGATTTCCGCGTCTTTGGTGTCGTCGTTTTGCTTTGGCGCTGGGAGGGATGTTGTGGTGTCGTCGGAGTCCTCGCCCGTAGCGGTGTTTTGCTCGTTGTCAGCGCGCAAGTGCTCGATCTCGCTTTGCAAGCGCTCGACATCTTTCTTGAGCCTGGTTTTCTCTTTTCTCTCTTGCGCAAGGAGAGCGCCGGTTTTGCGTACCGCATCTTCGGCTTTGTCGCGAACGTCTTCCAGCATTGCTGCATGCCCTTCTACCAGGTCATTGTGCTGGGACTTCAGCTCTCTGAACTTGCTCTCGGCCTCGGTTTTCAGGTCTTTCGTCTTGGCGAGCTTCTTCTCGACGTCTGCCACGCGTCGATCTGCTTGCGCACGTGCGTCGACCACGCGGTCGTTCGCGTCCTCGAGGTCGTGAGAGAGACGCTCGACGTCTGCGCGGGCGCTCCCGCTCTCGCGATGCGCTTCGGCAAGTTGCGCGCGCAGTGCGTTAAGGCTGGACTCGAGGCCCGAGATGCGGCCTTGCGCTGTGCTGAGTTTGCGTTCCAAACTGTCCTTCTCAGTGGCATGCTGGGCGATAAGTTGATCTTTTGTAGTGAGCTCTGTTTGCAGCTGCTCGTCTGACGTTGAATGGCTTCTGTTTGTCGATCTCAGGTCTGCGAGGACGCTCCGCTGAGTCTCGAGTTCGCGGCGTAAGGACCGTAGGCTGGCATTGAGATGGAGGTTTGTTTGAAAAAGCTGCGCTTTTGCGGCGACGTCGGTTTGAGCGCATTCGAGCGAGAATTTAGTGTCTTGGAGGTGCGTTTCGAGGTACGCTATGCGCGAAAGGTGGCGACCCGTTGCTCTCTTCGAGGCATCATCGTTTGTATCTCGTACCTGCGATTCTTCGCGGGCGGCCTTTATCTCTGCTGTCGCGTGAGCCAGATCTGCCTGGAGGGAGTCCGCACGAGTCTGAACGGATGCAAGCTTATCCTGCAGCTCAGCTTTCTCTGCGGCCAATGCTTCTTTGTACTTGTTCTCTTGCTCCGTCGTTTTATCCGTTGTTTGTCGAACATCCTGTTCATTTGACTGTCTGAGCTGGGTCAACTGTGCCTGCACACTTTCCAGCTCTTGAGCCTTGGTCCTTGCTTCTTCGCGAGCTGTGCGCTTGGAGTCCTCAAGCTCTCTCAGCTGACGTTCGAAATCGTCGTGCTGGGATTGAAATCTTTGCGAATTTTCCCTGTGCAGGTCCTCTTCAAGCTGCTGCAGCTTGGCCCTGTGCGCAGTTTCCAGGACTTGCAGTCGACTCTCGGTAGAGCCACCAGCTGCATCCTGCTTGGCACGTAGTTCTTTTAAAGAACGTTCCAGTCCCGCTATGTTGTCTTTGTGCTTGTAGTTGTCGTTTCGTGCGGTGTCAAGCTCGCTGCGCGTGTATGAAAGGATAGTTTCAAGCTCAGCAATGCGTGTCCGGGACGCAAGCTCCTGCTGCTCTTGACGTGACTGCAGTTCGGCAATGCGGTCCCCAGGCGTCTTTTGCCCGTCGCGGGCTGTGGGCGAGAGGTGGTGGATGACGGTCTGCTGGGTGGGCTTGCGCGGGGCGTCGTAGTCCTCGACGGTGGCCTGCAGCGAGCGGGCTTTTGGTGGCGACGAGCGCGGGACCTGGAGCATGCTTTGGCGGGGCACGCGCAGGGGAGTGCCGGCGGGGACGTGGTCGAGCTCTGTGTCGGGCAGGGCGCTGAGGAAGCTGCGGACCTTCTCTTCGTTCTCCATGGACCGCTCTGAGGCTGGCGTGCTGTACTCGCGGCTGGCCGTGGTGGCATTCACGCGCACCGTGGGCGATGCTGCAGTGGACGCCCCGCCGGCAGCATGGTCGCCCTCCTCGCCCGCTTGACGCTCTCCGCCCGTCGCAGGCCGGCTGCCCCTGCCTTTGGCCTCCTTGCGCGACTTGACCTGGGCGGGCGGCAGGTCGGCCGTCATCCAGTAGGTCATGTTCATGGTGAAGTCCTCCGGCCCCTCGACTTCGCTGGTGTCTACGCGGTCAACGGGCGGCTCATAGCTGCCCTCCAGCGCCGTCGACTCGAATGTCGAGTTCAGCCCCAGCGCGTCCAAGTCCATCTCATACTGCGAGCCGTCCTCCGAGCTGCTGCGCCGAGCTGGGCTGCGTCGCGGCGAGCGCATGCGCGTCGGACTGGCCGTGTACGACGAGTGTGTTCGCGCCATCGCTCTCTACTTGCACATCCAACCCCAAGCCTGTGCCGGCGACTGTTGTTGTGGAGAATAAGAATTGTGTTGTTGTGGTGTAAACAGTGCCCAAGACAGCCCTCGGCGCGTCACAACTGCACTAGTTACAACTGCGCTAGCGTATTGTCACACCATCTCCAACCGTTGCCCGTCTCCGCTGCATCAACTGGCGCCGAGTAGGGGAACATGTTCTCCGCTGCAACAGGCCACCCAGTCCGTCTCCTTTCGAGAGCGCATGTCCTAACCAGACAGCACCGTACCGGCGTTGCTCGTTGTCAGCACCCATCTCCTCTTGTGCTGGGTTCCAGACAGCCTTCGCGCTCTGTACAAAGACGGACCCAATCTTCGCTTCCCCTCACAGCCGATACGCAGCGTCGAGCTTACAGAAACATATGGGAACTTCAGCAACACCTGACCCCACTTGACACCCTCTCACGCACCGTTCAATGCGCAAGCCTCCCCAAGTTTGCCACTGATGATGATTTACTAGAGCTCTTTGCAGAATCGGGGTTTGATGTGTCTGTGGCCTTTTTCTCTCCTGACCAAATCCATCTCTGATTATCTGAAGGCAACAAACAATCATGGTCTTCGAGGCTCAAACGGCTCACAATATTGGCAAGGCTTGGTTTGTCTTAGCAAGTGACGATGCAGCCAAAGCCGCTATTCGCGATCTCCATGGAGCACCCTTATTTGACCGTAGGATACGTGTTTCGCCCTATGAAAAAGCTTCAGACTCGAAAGCGAAGTTTAACAACTTTTATTGGGGTTGGACAGCATCGAAAGACCCACGCCTGGCAAATGCGAAGATACGGGGTCCGCATTTACGACCTCCCAAAGACATTTTCCGGTCAATTCGCCAGGGGCGACGAGTCGCAATAGACATGCCCAGAAGCGTCAATCACCACCCGGGCGAACTGTACGCATTATTCCACAACTACAACATAGACAGTATGGGGGACTTCATTGAGTACCGACGGAAAAGCGACTCTGGTCTAAGGTCGACCATTATGCTCGATTTCACTACTCGGGAAGAGGCTGATAAATCTGTACATGTGTTCGACGAACACAAATTCAAAGGAATGGTGCTGCAAGTACGTAAATGGCAACTGCCACTGAAACATCTTGGTGGTACGTCTTGGGATGGTGGCCGGCCAGGAATACATTATTCTGGACGCGATCAGGGGAACGCTGCTGGCACCAATTTCGAACACGTAAGTTTTCCCATGTGGTGTCGACTGTCGTCCATGCACTGTGTCAGTCGAGACTGTCAGTTACTTGATGGCTGCTGACTCCCGCGTCCATAGATGCAAGAAGAACTGCTCGCAAAAGCTGTTTTGGGAAAGCAGGATCGCAAACTTTGGGTGCCCTCGCATACCTATTAGTACATCTTGAGAGATTAAACCAAGGTCCGATATGTTCCGGACGACACTATGAAGTCTTTCATGGCAATACTCAGACAGATAGACATTCTATGAACTAGCCCACTCAACGCAATCTGGGGAACGTTAGACCCGTTCCGCGGCCACGCGCGCTAGCGTGCTTGGGCCCTGGACCCTTTGTAAACTTACCTGCAGCATTCTGCACTTCTTCTTAACCTCACAACTCATACACTTCGTCAATCTAACATCATGTCGTCGAAGTTTCGAATGCTCTCGCTTGCTCCTATCTCGAGGCCGCTGGCTGCCAGCCAATCGTATCGGAGCCGCCTCCTCCCGCGTCAGTTTACGGCTCCTGCACGACGCGATGGGAAGCCGCTTACGCCTTCTTCGCAGAGAAGAGATCTGTCGTCCACAGTGCCGAGCTCTGGTGCTAGCAAATTCGCATCCGCAGCATTCGAATCGTTGTTGGCACCGGAAATGGTTTGGCGATCCCTTTGGATCTTTCAAATACCAAAATTCGCGCTGGAGGAAGAGGTTCGTGAGCTATTCGAGGAATCGGACTGTAGTGTGTTCTTTGTTTCCCTCTCCTGCACCTTACAATTACAGCAGTTTTTCTGACTGTTCCCGCAAAGGAGCGGATAATAATGTTATACAAGCCCTCTGCAGGTTATAATATCGATGTGTGCAGTCGTTCTGAGAGACGCAGCTGCCGCTCGTTTAGCTTTTCAAGAACCCAATGGACTGCCCTACTCAACCGTAGATTTTCCATCCAACCTTTCGGCAAGCAACTGGAACATCTAAGAAGGCCACGCTACCATTGGGGCGAGTATGCTTCAGCGAATGCTGGTATCAACCACGCCCAACCCAGAGCACCGTTGACGCAGCGCCCGCTTGATATCTTCAAGCCCGTGCGGGAAGGTCGTCGCATCGTGCTCGACTTTCCTCGTCAGTTCGGTAACGTCTGTCCCTACGTGCCGGGACACCCGGTATAATGGGACAGGTTCGCACTCCGGACCTTCGGAGTCTGTTGCACGCACGTTTAAATATCTGCAATTAACATGTAGCGTCTTTCTGCTAACTCTCCTCACGCCTGTCAGCCTCCGGCGACGAGTGCTGCCATGCTGGTCCTGCTGTCGATTGCTACGTCAACGCCGTCAATCGACCCTTCGTCAATACCTCCCTGTCCATTCACGGCTTAAGGGATCTCTACAAGAATCGGAGGGCCTAGCAGAAAGCAAAGTTGAGGAAGATCGTATCTATAGGCATAAGAAGCTCATTTAAAGAGAGAAGTGTGTAGTCAGACAGTTTCGCCGATCAGGAGGAAAGATTGCAGAAAGCAACCCAGCGGGTCGGGATGCGCTAGAGTCGCTTGCCGTGGGGTGGCCTGCATTAGCGTGCTAAGATGTTGCTGTAAGATACTGTATTGATTTCGACGCTATACCCACTGCAGATCGGTCGCTGAGACAGCCTGTGGCGCAAGCTGGCTTTACAGCCACGTGCCCTGCCCCGCTTCTCAGATAGGGGCGGGTAGGCTCTCCTCCGCTCCACACCGTTCAGGCACCCACCGGTTTGCCCGCTGTTCAGCCTTGCGCCTTCCCGCGCCCTGCCCCGTCTCAGGCCGTCTCCTAACATCTCACCCCACTAAGAACATGGCAAACAACACACGCCTCATCTTGCAACACCACAGCGAGTTGCTGCTTCTCAACAGGGTCCCTAGGTGCTGTACCGCCTCTTACCTCCGTGTTCACTCGCTGACCTCGAACGTACCAGCGAAACGTCGGCCGCACGCTCATGCTACCAGGCTACCGCCTTTCAACCCTCCCTAAACCTCGCCCCTACCGCATGCACCTACCATACATCTGCGTATATCGATGCGGCTCTTACAGTACCGAGAAGATGGCGAGCTCAGTGTCACTGCTGACGTGGTTGACGAAGACGCAATACCCCCTTATGCGATCCTTTCACATACCTGGAGTGAGAATGAGGCAGAGGAGGTCACTTTCGAAGACCTGGCGAAGAATGCTAGCAAGGGCAAGCCTGGTTACAAGAAGATCGAACTCTGTGGAGAGCAAGCAAAGCGCGACGGCTTGCAGTACTTTTGGGTCGACACCTGCTGCATCGACAAGACGAACAAAGCTGAGCACTCACTAGCTATCCAGTCCATGTTTCGCTGGTACCATAACGCAGCACGCTGCTATGTCTACCTGTCAGATGTGTCAGCGTTTCCGTGTCATAGAGTCGACAAAGAAGTGGGACCGTCGCAATGGGACTCACAGTTCCGTCAAAGCAAGTGGTTCACGCGCGGTTGGACGCTGCAAGAGCTTCTCGCACCTGGCTCAGTCGAGTTCTTCTCACAAGAATGGACGAAGCTTGGTGACAAGACATCACTTGCACGAAAGGTTCATGAGAACACGGGCATTCAGACCCTTGCGCTAGAAGGGGCGCCTCTGTCTCAGTTTCCTGTCAACGAACGGTTGCGCTGGAAAGAAGCCAGGGTGACTAAACGTGAGGAAGATAGAGTGTACTCGCTGCTGGGCATCTTCGACGTGGAGCTAGCGCCAATGTACGGCGAAGGAGCGGCGAGCGCGTTCAAACGTCTCATGGATGAGATCCACACGTTAGAAAAATGCGTCCAAGACGCACGGCACACTGACCCACGTGATGACAAGAAGCGCATCGAGGAGACCAAAGGCGGACTACTAAAAGATTCCTACCGTTGGGTGCTCGACAACACTGTTTTCCGGCAGTGGCAGCGGGATCCGCACAGCCCACTGCTGTGGGTGAAAGGCGATCCTGGAAAGGGCAAGACGATGCTGCTCTGCGGCGTCATAGACGAGCTGCAAAGCTCACTTCCTAAGACTGCCCTTCTAGCGTACTTCTTCTGTCAAGCGACTGACTCGCGCATCAACAGCGCCACAGCTGTGCTACGAGGGCTGCTGTATATGATCGTGAAGCAGCAACCGTCGCTTGTATCTCACATCCGCAAGAAGCACGATGACGCAGGCAAAGCGTTGTTCGAGGATGCAAATGCCTGGGTCGCCTTGACAGGGATCTTCGCGGACATGATACGAGACCCACAGCTCAGAGCTACATTCCTGATCATCGATGCGCTAGACGAGTGTGTCACTGATCTGCCGAAACTGCTTCATTTCATCGCAAAGCAGTCTTCTGCGTCTTCCCGCGTCAAGTGGATCATGTCGAGCCGCAACTGGCCAGAGATTGAAGAGCAGCTAGAGCTCGCCTGGCACAAGGTGAGGCTGAGTCTTGAGCTGAACGCAGAGTCCGTATCGGCGGCGGTCGGCGTTTTCACTCAGCACCAGGTGTCTCAGCTGGCGAAGCAGAAGAAGTATGACAAGCAGACACAAGAAGCGGTGTTTGAGCGTCTGACGAGAAATGCAAACGACACCTTCTTGTGGGTAGCACTCGTATGCCAAGAGCTTGGAAAGACAGCTAAACGAAACGCTGTAAAGAAGCTGGACACCTTCCCGCCAGATCTGAATGCATTTTATGAACGAATGATGCAGCAGGTCAGCATGTCGGATGACGCTGAAATCTGCAAGCAGGTGCTGGCTTTGATCGCGCTCGTGTATCGGCCAATCACGCTGAAGGAGCTGGTGGCCCTTGCTGAGCCGCTCGAAGACATGGCCGACGAAGCGCGGGAGATCATCGGTCTTTGTGGATCGTTCCTCACTCTGCGAGGAGACACCGTCTACTTTGTACACCAGTCCGCGCAGGACTTCCTCTTCGCCAAGGCATATGACAAGATCTTCCCGCGTGGGCCTGAAGCTACGCATCACGTGATCTTCTTGAGGTCACTCGCGATTCTGTCCCGGTCATTGCAAAGGGACATCTACAGCCTGGAAGCGCCCGGTTTTCTTGTTGACGATGTTCAACCACGTGAGCCAGACCCGCTAGTATCGTCACGCTACCCGTGCGTTTATTGGGTCGACCATCTGTACGACTCGAAGCCTGAGTCTTGGGCAAACGGCGTTGGTGACCTAGAAGTCAGAGGCGCCGTCGATGAATTTATAAGGAGGAAGTATATTTACTGGATAGAAGGGCTTAGCCTGTGCAGAAGCATGGGAAAAGGGGTAATTTCGATGGCGAAGCTATACTCGCTGCTCCAGGTATGGCATGCAAAGATAATACAACGCTATGGTCTATTTATTATGCATGCTGACTCTTCTTGGAGATGCAGGATGATGATGAGCTTACTAAGCTTGTTCAAGACGCCGGCCGATTCGTCATGTACCACAAAGGAATGATTGAAAACTATCCACTGCAGACATATGCATCTGCGCTGTTGTTTAGTCCCACAGGAAGCGTGACTAGAAGGTTGTTCCAGCACGAAGAGCCAAAAGGGATCACTATCAAACCAGCAATGAGCGCTGGCTGGAGTGCTTGCCTGCAGACGCTCGAGGGCCATAGCAGCTATGTCACCTTTGTAGCCTTCTCGCACGACTCGACCAAGCTGGCGTCGGCGTCATACGACAGCACCGTCAAGGTGTGGGATGCGAGCAGCGGGGCGTGTCTGCAGA